CACAGGGAAATACTCAGCTTCAGGGTAGTAATTTTGTTATGCTAATATGCATATGCAAATGACTCTTACATCTGTGTTGCCTACCCATTTATTATTCTGTATGATTTATGTATTAATTGCCTATTCTATATTCCAATCACCAAATTCAACCTACTCAAGCTTGAACTCATCATCTTCTTCAAACTTTTTTTTTTTTTTAGTTGTAGTTGGACACAATACCTTTATTTTATTTATTTATTTTTATGTGGTGCTGAGGATCAAACCCAGGGCCTAGGCAAGCAATCTACCACTGAGCTACAACCCCAGCTCTTCAAACCTCTTTTGTTTCTTTATTTTTTAGTGAGTGGTACCATCTGGTCCAGGTAGAAGCTGAATCTTCCTTGGTTCTTTTTTTGTTTTTGTTTTTAAATCACTGAACTTAAGTACTATTTATTTAACCTTGTCCAGCTTTGACTAAGTTGGTAGTTAGATGCCTCTTTCCCTGTGTTGTTCAAATGGTTCACACTTCTATCATAGCATTTATTACGTTGTATTATACATCCTTAATTTTATTTACTTGTTTCCCCACCTGATAATGATATCCTTAAGGCAAGAAACTGTCATTTATGCCTGAATTCCCAGGATATAAAACATCTTTTTAAGACATAGTCACTCTACAGGTGAATGAATTAGGCCAAGGCAGAACATCATGGTGGAAGTGTGTAGCAGAAGTAAACATTTTTTAGCTCATGGCAGCCAGAAAGGAGGGAGAGAGGAAGAAGGGAAGGAGCTGGGGAGAGAGAGGATGAGGGAGAGAGAGAGGGAGAGAGAGAGGAAGGGAGAGAGAGAGAGAGAGAGAGAGAGAGAGAGAGAGACTGAGACTATAAGCATGAGCTGGAAGGATAGGTGGTTATAGTGTGATGATGAATTTATTATCTCAAAGTTGAAATATCTCTGTCTGAATGGTGAAAGCCTCAATGTGTGCCTAAAGGAGTGGGTGGCTGAAGTGGAGCGGAGGTGAATATCATCAGAGGTGAAGAGGTCAAAGTACAAGAAAACCTAGCTTGTCCATGTAGACCTTGAAGCCACCCCAAATGATGCAGTACTTGGAATAGAGAGAACAAACCATAAACAAGGTTCAAGGGCATTGGTAAATGAAGGGTAGAGAATGACAGGTGCATAAAGATATGGGACAGAGGGGTGTAACTGGCTAGAAGTCTTCCCACAATGGAGAAATGAAATCGGCTATTATTATGAGTAATTGTTTACCAGGTTTTACATAGATTAGGCCATCAGACGACCTTCATATGAAGCTGATGCTATTTCTACTCCCCTTTTATAATGAGGAAAATGAAACAGAGGTTTTGCAGGTTAAGATCTCCCAGTTCTCATCTACTATGTTGGGTTGACTGTCATAAAATGATAAAAGGTGTTTTAAGACATTTCAACTAAAAAAAAGTTAGATCTCCTGTATATTGTTAGCAATGAGGTTAACTTTGGAAAACAATGGAAATATTTATTTAAATTCATTGGTGCTGAAATATTAGTTTTTAACACACAGCAGGGGGCAGCACTGAGTACAAGTCCATACTAGGCCATGTAGTGGAACCCTCATCGTGGTTTGCATACATCAAGACTTCGGTTTACTTCATGCCTTGATGATTTCCTCAGCAGCATCCAGGGTGCTGTCTTTCTGTAAATTAATGAAATGATTACAATCATTACATACCAACATAAATTCAAGATGAATAAGATTTAAATAGAAAAGATATAAACCATAATAACACAAAATGAAGATTTCAGTGAATAACTGATCTTAGGTGAAGAAAAATCTTCAAAGTTAAAATGTAAATGCAGAACCCTCAAAAAGGAAAGTAGTTAAATTAATTATAGAATTAAATCATAGAGAAGAGCTTATATTGAAAATTAATAGCAGTCTTTTCTCCCATCTCCATTTGTCCTTATTAATCCCCCCTAAAAAAACAACCTTTTACAGCAATATCTGGGTTTAGTTCTAATGCTTGCCAACAAAATCTAAATAATATGCTTATGATTCTATTTCTTTGTGAATCTAACATATTTTCATTATAATTCACTTTGACCAAAAATTTTAGTTCATGAAAGCATTTGCCCACCCAGAAATCTGTGTCCAAATGTTTATAGTGGCATTATTCATAATTGCTAAAAAGTGGAAACAATTCAAGTGTCTATTACCTGATGATCAGATAAATAATGAATGTGCCACTGATGCTTAAAACTGCAATTAGTGCAACTGATCCTTTTCTTGTAAAGTAGGCATTTGAATTTCTTTGTTTGAGTAGCTTATTTGACTTTTTTCTACTTTTAAAAAATTTTATAAGAGTGCTTTACTTGTTCAGTATAACCATTTTATGGTATATAATGCATAGACTTCTCAGTTAAAATATTTTAGCTTATGTAGTTTAATGGATTAACCATACAATTTGCTTATAGAATATGAACTATAGATTTGACATAACTTATCTTAATTGCTTTTTGTCAAAAAAATTTTTAGTTTATTTTAAACAAGACTTTGCCTTTTCCTATCAAAATTTCAGCTATGATCATCAAAAAATAATCCACTTAGTTCTTGAATTGGTTATATGTGCTATGACATAAAATTAAACTAAAGAGTAAGCAGCAAAAAATCAGTTTTGGGGTTTCCTCTTCAGTGCTTCTTTTTTCTCTTCCCTCTCTTCTAGAATGATTCAGTATGAAAGCTAATAGGTGGGGCTGGGTGCAGGGGAAGTCCATGTGTGGAGGCCAGGGACCTGTGCAGCCTAGTGTAGGATGCTGCAGCCAGAGTGGAATGAGCAGGGTGACCAATTTGGATGGCAAAAGGTGGGCAGGAGCAATGGTGGCAGTGACCTGAAATAGGGTAGTGCAAGTAACGCATCCGGGAGGTAGTGGGCCCCATGCAGGGTTCTGTGCCCTGGATGTGGTAAGGCAGGCACACAGCATGCCTGTCACAGCCCAGAAAGGGACAGGGAGGTTCCTATGTAGTGAATGACAGAGGGAGTGTGATGCGGGGTGTTGGAGACCTATGGAGGGCACGTCTTCCAGTAGGGTGACAGAGCAGGTCAACATGGGGTGTGGATGCAAAGATAGGGTGAGAACAATGACCACATGGGGGAGGTGACAGCAGCTTGGTAGAAGAAGCCTAAGTTGGGTAAAGGGCATCCACTGAGAGATTTGGGGATTGGGTGAAAGTAGTTACAACAGCAGAAGAATGATTACATGCAGAGGTATTGCTTAATTAAGTAATTAAGTAACGAGAATCACTATTGAGGGAGGGAGGTTCAAATATGAGAAGGGAGAAAATTATAATAAACCCTGTTGTGGCTTTTAACATGTTAGATGTAGGTATTCGTGCAATTGGCCCTTCGTATCCACTGGTTCTGCAACTCAACCAATTGCTGATTGAAAATAATTTAAAGAAATTACTTTTATACTGAACATATATAGATTTTTCTTGTCATTATTCTCTAAGCAATATAGTATAAGAATTATTTTCATAGCACTTGTATTATATTAGATTACAAATAATCTAGGGGTGATATTAAAGTATATAGGAAGATGTGTATTTGTTATGTGCAAATACTATGCCATTTATATAAGAGACTTAAACATCTGTGAATTTTGGTATCTGTAGGGGTTCTAGAACCAATCCCCTTTGGGTATTATGTATAAATGTGTATGTATTTATGTGTATAAACTCACATATTCCCTACCTCTGTCCACTGTGAGGAAGGGTCTGGAATTAGCAATACCCCAACAGTAGTGACATTCTTAATGTCCAGATCTTGTTTTTTAAACACTACTCTGCACTTAAAAGAACCAGGCCTCCTTGGAAATAGTTGACTCCAGATTGTGGTAGATAATGATTAGATGAACTAGTACATCTTCTTTAGGCCATAAAGTAAGAAGATACCCCAAAATGATGGAGATGCATCAAAGGAAACAGAAGGCAGCTTAAAGGAGCTCCTAGTGGCCAAGTCTGGGAAAATATGACTATTAAAATATCCAAGGATAGTAGTAGTAGCAGTAGCAGTAGTAGTAACAATAATGATAATAAATTACAGCCATTATAGCCCATTGAATAAAACTGGAAGTTGTGGGTTTTTACTAATACTAAGGAACAGGTAAACTGAATAAATTATTGGATGAGATATGGAATATTTTCAGATCTTCAAAGTACCTTGCCACAAAATACTTATGATTTTTTTTTAATGGAAAAAGTATAACTTTACAGTAGACAGGGTAGAAGAGCACCACTTAAGTGATTGAAGTTAACACCAGCAATAAAAAGAACAATTGAAATTATGTGTCATCTGTTGCAATAAAGGCACTACTTTTGTGGTTTTCTTACAAATAGCCCTAATTTAATCAGAGAAATATCAGACTTAATTGAGGGACTTTCTTCAAAATAATGGGTATACATAAACACATGCACACACACACATACATACATATGCATATATATCTTAAGATCATGAAAATAAAAAAAAAAAACCTGAGGAGCCATTCCAGTTTGAAGGAAACATAATAACTAAATGCAATGAATATACTGGCCTAAAAAGTTTGACATAATTCTGGTGTGGATTTACTTCTTCGTTATAAAAAGGACCTTATTAGGACAATTAATGAAACATGGATTAGTTGTGAGGCTTCGATGGAGATAATAATATATCAACGTTAACATCATGACATTGAGGGTTTTATTGTAGCTTTGGAAAATGTTCTTGTTTATGGGGAATATGCAATAAAGTGTTTGGGGTGAGGGGACACTGTAAGTAATTAACTTGATATTTTTCCATCAGTCAGTCTCCACCTACCTCCACCAGCCACTCAGCTCTCTCAGTTCTCCTCTGCAGAGGCAATGCTGAGATTTTATTATGTATCTTTCAAAAGCTATCTCAGGTATTTATAAGTGTCTATTTCTTCCTTTTATATACATGATACTGTTCTGTGCAAATTGTTCTGTTCCTTGCTTGTGCTCTATCATTCTTTTCTTGATGTAAATATGCTACAATTTATTCAAGCAGCTCCCGCTGGTGAATATTTGTAATCTTTTGCTATTACAAACAATGCTTCACTGAAAACCCATGAACATGAGTCAAAATGTTCAAGAAAAAAATCCACAGAAAAACAATCGTAAAAGTAGAATTTCTGGGCCAAAGGGCATATGAATTTGCATTTGGATGGAAACATTTGAAATAACCACCACAGAGATTTTACAAATTGTACTCCTACTCTTAAGGCGTGACAAGTATTTTATGAAGTTTTAGTTGCTGCCAATCTAATACATTAATAAAATTTCACTGCAGTTCTAATTTTCATTTCTCTTGTTATGAGAAAAGCGGAGTGTCCTTTCTTTCAGAAGTTTGACAGCTACTGAGGATTTTACCCATAACATTGTAAAGTGCTGTTTTCTACCTTATTAGTTTTATCAACTCTGAATCCAACCTGTTTTCTTTAGATTTCCATTTTCTTGGCATGTTTTTGTCATCTTTCTCTAAGGACTTCCAGCTATTGCTATACTCTCCTCCAAAATCAGATGCTGGCGTAGAGAGTCTCAGTTTACAGAGATCTTCCTCTTTGGCCCTCCAGGAGGCCTGGCTGATTTTGTCTGGAGGCCCAAAGAATTATTTATCTTTGAAGTTCAGTATATCAAACAAGGCATACTCCATGTCATTCATTGTGTCCCACATTTTCCTGAGACCAGGCACTTTCTTTAATCTTTAATTTGTGTTTTATTTCACTTTTTTAAAATGGAAAACATTCTGAAAATAAAGCTATAACATTCTTTTCGGGTTCCATTTGTTCTACAAATGGACTCCCCATACTTCATTTTTCTTCCACTTCCATACTTTTTCTTTTCTTTTTTTTTTATATGTAACACATCCCTTTTTTTTAAGAGAGAGAGAGAGTGAGAGAGAGAATTTTTTTTTCATAATATTTATTTTTTAGTTTTTCGGCAGATACAATATCTTTGTTTGTATGTGGTGCTGAGGATCGAACCCGGGCCGCATGCATGCCAGGTGCTACCGGTTGAGCCACATCCCCAGTCCCCACTTCCATACTTTTTCTAAAATTATAAAATTCTTTATTGCTTTCCATTTCCTTTTCCTTATTTTTCTCAATTCTTAACATGCACATAGAGTTTTACTGTCCTTTGTGATATTACCAATGCCACCCATAATTCCCAATAGCTTTATTTTCCCTTCAGTTTCCTGCCTGAGCTCTGACAAGTACCATCTCATCTTCTTATATTATCTTATCCTATCTTCTCTGAACTTTAAAATCCTCTGCTTTAGTCTATTGTTTTAAAAGTCACAATTTTTATTAGTTCCATGGCAACATTTTCCCAGTGAATGGTCTGTCTGACATTTGTTTTTCCTTGTGCCTTTCTCTTTTCCTTATGGTATCCTTTTAAAAGATTCATAGCTGGTCCTTTTTAATTATTAATCACTTTCTACTGAATTCCCTAGGTAAGCTCTCACTGCCAGCACACACACTGTTCCCAGGGTTGTACATAACAATGGTGCTACCCCCTGCCTCTGTCGGATTTGAAGATATATTTGCAGATTTGTGTAAGGGAGGAGCAAGGACACTAATAGAAGATAGCAGAAATTCTTCCTGGCTCACAGCGTAGTTTAATACAACTAGGGAGAATTCTGTTAGGGGAAGGTCTTTTAGACTTCATTTCTTCCCAACTAATTAAATGGTTGCCCCTAATTTCATGTATTTCCTCCACATTGAATCAACATAATTCTGGCAGTGATGACATGGCTTAAAGAGGAAATCTACAGCCTAACCAGAATCTCTTTTCTATCCTGCCTAAGCAGGATCATCCATAGGTATCCTCTCTCTGCCATCACTTCCACTGTATTTGGTAACCCTAACCCTCACCCACTGGGGAATCTCAATTAGTTTACTACTCTCCTGGCTGTTTTTGAATATTTTCCAAAAGAGGAAAGGTCTGTGTTTACCATTTTAAAACTGAAGTTTTGTACTACTCTTTCTTTTTTTTTCCCCCTGTTGGTTATGTTTATAGACTCAAATACTAAACTTATAAAGTGGGTCCCTGAGTTAAGATGGATTATTTTGACTTTAGGGTGGTGCAAAAGTGACAGGCATTGAGTAGAAATCAGATGTTGAATTTTGATCTTTTCCCTGGTAAGTGATAGATGCCGGGCAGTAGCAATGAACTGTAGTTCCCAGTCAACCCACATGTGGTCATGAGGGTAAACAATTGGTGCTCCACAGTGTACTGTGTTGCTAAGCTATTAGGTTCAGTAGGTTAGGTGTACTAAATGCATTTTTGACACACATATTTTCTACTGTGTTTATCCAGATGTGACCCCATTGTTAAGTGAAGGAGCACTTGTACCTGTTTCTAGAGCCACTGTAAGATAGTATTAATTGCCTTACTTTTTCGTTTTCATTACAATCAACTGAATACTTACATTGTAAGATTGCTAAGGTTTTTATTCTGAACAGTTCTTCCTCAGTTTGTTTATAGGTTATCTCTAGAGGTGGAAAACAATGTTTACATTATTCTGACTAGGACTATGGCAGAGTCAGTTGATGTAGAGTGCTTTGATCATAGTAAGGCTATTTCCAGTAGCAGTAACATCTATTTTATTTTATTTTATTTTTTTGTACCAGGTATTGAACCTAGGGGCACTTAACCACGGAGTCACATCTTTAGTCATTTCATTTTTTTTTTTTTTAAATAAGGTCTCTCTAAGTTGCTTACGGCCTCACTAACTTGTAGAGGCTGGCTTTGATCTTGCAATCCTTCTGCCTCAGCCTTCCTAGCTGCTCAGATTACAGGCGTGCACCACAAGGCCCAGAGCAGTAACATCTTAAAAACTGGAAAGATACCTTCAGAAAACTTTTGAGTGCAGGTCTGATGGTGATGAGTTCTCTCAGCTTTCATTTTCAGGAATGTCCTTCATCTTCATTCTTGAAGGACATTTTCCTGGATAATACAGGCTACAAGGCTGACATTTTCAGCAGTTTAATCATGATATGCCTAGGTTTTTTTTTTCTGTTGTTTTGGTTTTATAAATCTTGCTATATAAGTTCAGTGAACTTTTGAGATCTTTCAATTGCTTTTTACCAAAATGGGAAAAATCTAACTGTGACTTCTTTTTTCTCCATATTAGAGATTGAATACAGAGGCACTCTTCCACTGAGCTATATCCTCAACCTGCTTTATTTATTTTCAAGTTTTGAGACAGTCTTACTAAATTGCAAAGACTAGGGCTGGGGTTGTGGCTCATAGGTAGAGCGCTCGCCTAGCATGCGTGAGGCACTGGGTTTGATCCTCAGCACCACATAAAATAAAATAAAGATATTGTGTCCACCTATAATTAAAAAGTAAATATTTAAAATAAATTAATAAATAAATTGCAAAGACTAGCCACAAACTTGGGATCCTCTTGCTTTAGGTGTCTGAGTAGCTAGGATTATAGGCATTGTCACTGAGCCTTGCTTGGTTATTACTTCCTAAAATACTTTTTCTGCCATATTTCTTCCTCTTTTTTGGGTACTCCAATCGTGTTTGTATTCTAACTTGATGTTATCTCACATATTTGAGGTTCTGCTTATTTTTTAAAATACTTTTTCCCAGCTGGGAGTGGTGGCATATGCCTGTAATCGCAGTGGCTTAGGAGGCTGAGGCAGGAGGATTGCAAGTTCAAAGCCAGCCTCAGCAAAAGTGAGGCGCTAAGCAACTCAGTGAGACCCTGTCTCTAAATAAAATACAAAATAGGGCGGGGGATGTAGCTCAGTGGTCGAGTGCCTCTGAGTTTAATCCCTGGTACTGCTCCCCACCAAAAAAAAAAAAAAAAAAACAAAACCCAAAACTTTTTCTTTTCTTTTTAAAGACTGAATCTATTTCTATGAGTCTGTATATAAACTGACCTTTATTCCTCTGATATTTTCAATCCTCTATTAAGCCCTATGAATATTTCAGATTAGATATTATACTTTTAAGGTCCTAAATTTTCATGTGTTTCTTTTTTTATAGTCCTAAATTCCTCTGTGTACTCCTTATGATGATATTTTCCTTTTTCTTGAATACTTTTTGAGAAATTATGGGTCACTTTTTTTGATGTATGTTTTCATACATCTAGTAATTTTTTTTTTTATTATAGGCTGGACGTTGTTATATTATAGATAAATTTTCTGGATTATGTTCCTTCCCTCAAAGTAGGTTGTGTCTAGTTTTGATACACAGTATCAATGTAAAATGTAAAAACTGCATATGAACCTATAATTTGTAGCAACAGAGTAAAAGTGTGTTATAAATTGCAAGGAAGAATATTGTAAATGTGTTTTGGGGTATAACAGGGAACTTACTTTAATGAAGCAAAACCTCACAAACTTCTCAAACTGTGGTTTACTTTCTGAGTTACAGAATGCCGAAACAGGAATGGCTGATAATTTCTGAAAAACAAACGGGATGATCCAGTAGGAAAACTATTTACATTTCAAATATTAATTTTGAGAAATAAATACACACTTCTGAATATTCATAATTTCCAAAAAAGAATATTTTAAAAATCCCTTAAGAAGCCGGGTGTGGTGGCACATGCCTATAATCCCAGCAACTCAGGAGACTGAGTCAGGAGGATCTAAATAAAACACAAAATAAAAGTGGGGATGTGGCTCAGTGGTTAAGTGCCGCTGAGTTCAATCCCTGGTACTCTGCCCCCTCCCCCCAAAAAAATCCCTCAAGAAGCCATGAGTACAGTAACATGTAACAAAATAATTTCCAAAGCATGTTAGCAAGTTTCCTTCATAATTATCTATAAAATACACACAATGTTCCAAGGCCAATAAACATACCTTATTTTTAGTCATCCATTTCACGAATTTATAGTCATATGGCTCATCATTCTTCATATCAGAGAGATCAGCATCTAAAACAACATGGATTTCACTTAAGTCTATCAAGATTCAAATTTTTTTTTTTCTGATTTAAATAGGTTTAGTTTAGAACTTTCTTAGAGGATATTCACAGAATATGCTGGTACTTGAACTGCATGGTGAGGTGCAAAGTGAGAAGTTCAGAGCAGCACTCACGTGCACCAACCACACTTCTACACACACGCAGCTGTTAGAACAGGAGGACACAGGAAAGGGGAAGGAAAGAGGAGTGTTGCCTTTCCATCTAGAAATAAGATTCCATAGCAACTACTAATGAAATAACAACTAAATATATTCATAAGTGATATTTATATCTCCTAATTGATTTTTAAGCTCCATGAGGGCAAATTGTCCATTTCTTTAATCTTTTGTTTCTCCGAACACTTAGGTGAATAGCTAGCATATAAATTTTGAAAAAAAAAGTTTGTTGAATCAGTACATATTATTGTTTACAAACCGAAAATGTCTGTTTAGATCTTCCAAATGCTGTACTTATTGTTTATCTCTTGCTTCCATATAATACACTGTTTTGAATATTTTGAATTTTGGGGAAAGACCTTCAAATATGCATCCCTATTATTATCCCTTTCATCAACCTTGCTTTAAAGTCTGGGCAGGATATTTCTCTGACATTAGTTTGACATTATATTTCCTATTGCTTTAAATTTATTGACTTATATTGTTAGATTTTCTGGCATACCCCAAAATAGCTAATGTTGATGGGTACTCTTATTAATGAAATTTACATGTATTACTCAAAAAAAGAAAGAAAGAAAGAAAAAGAAAAAAAAGCAGATATTTGACTTCTTTTATTTACTAAGTAATTCTGATTCTTAGTAGAAGCAATGGCAGGAGATTCCCGTTTTTAAGTTCTAGGATGAAGTTCATCGGTCAGGGTATAAATCTCTAGGTTCAGAAACCAGTTCCATTACTTATTAGTTGATTAACTTCAGTAAATTAATTTGATACTCTGACTCTTTATTTGGGGAGAGGCAGGGAGCACTAGGGATTGAGCACTGGGGCACTTAACCACCAAGCCACATCCCCAGCCCTTTTTATTTTGAGACTAGGTCTCACTGAGTTGCTTAAGGCCTCACTAAATTGCTGAGGCTGGCCTTAAACTTATAATCCTTCTTCCTCAGCCTCCAGAATTGCTAATATTACAAGGGTGGGCCACCATAACCAGCTTTTTATTTTTGTGTGGTGCTGAGGGATGAACCCAGGCCTTTGTGCATCCGAGGCAAGCACTCTACCAACTGAGCTATATCCCCCCTTACGCAGCTTTGATCCTCTATCTTTCTCATCTAATAGTGTGGACTTGATAGCACCAACCTCATAACTCTCTTGAAAATGTGATGTTTGTAAAACTCTTTTTTGGGGGGTGGGGGCGGTTTACCAGGGATTGAACTTGGGACTCAACTACTGAGGCATATCCCCAACCCTATTTTATATTGTATCTAGAGACAGGGTCTCACTGAGTTACTAAGTGCCTTGCTGTTGCTGAGGTTGGGTTTGAATTGGTGATCCTCCTGCCTCAGCCTCCTGAGCAGCTGGGATTACAGGTATGTGCCACCATGCCTGGCCTTGCAAAACTCTTAATGTAATACCTACTATATCACAAATGCTCAATAAATATTAACCAGTTAACAAATTAATCAAAATAAGTAAAAGTATAAAATAAAACAAAGTTTTTTTCACGTGTAGGAGGATTTTACAGACATAAACATTTCCCCCATAGGTGAGGACCATAAAGAAGCAAGCTCCACCCCCACCCACATCCCCTGAAGAAAGGTTCTCTATCCCAAATCCTTTCCATTCTTATTTTAACTACACTAGTTCAAGGTCTAAGAGGGTGTTGTATGCTTTATGGATTGACTGAGGAAAGCACTGGAAACTAATTAAAAGCTTTAGTGCAATAATTGGAGTTCCATCATTGCCCTTTTGATAATTAATGTCACAGTGTGAGAAATCCTTTTTAGAATTTACTATCTGGAAAAATTTGAATCCAGACAAGAACTATTTTTATCTAAGAAACTATGAAGTTTCCTTTAGCCAGGAATTATGTAATCAACTCCATTTTTCAATTTCCCTTTGCTGCCACGAGAAAGTCTCAAGTTAATGCTAATTACAATACCATATGAACTCAGGGAGCCGAACTATTGACTTCCTCCACCTCCTACATGGCATGATTTTTTAATTTATAATATGTGGTCATTTCTACTCATACGTTACTATGTAAGAGACTTTTAATGTGAGTAGGCTCAAATTCCTTTTGGAAACATGAAGTATACATCACTTTCTTTAAAATAATTCATGTGGAGAATTTTGTGGATTTCTGATTCAAAGGCAAAAATATAAGTGATGAAGACCGTGCTATTTCTTTTTCTCATCTCATAAAACAAGCTGCTGGTTTAGACCCAATATAGGTTTGCTTTCCAAACCTCCGAGTACAGAACATCTGAAAGGATTTTATGTACATATGGAGCCTGGGAACCTGCCAAGTTCAGCTCTCTGGCAATAGGACCACAAGAACCTCTGCTTGCCATAACTTCTTGTTCTCTCACAACAAATGAAGACAGATAAACTTGTTTCAGTTTGAGCCAAACCTTATGTAGTAAGTTCTTATATTTTCATGTTATCTCAGTATCTGTTCTGTACCTAAGCTGGACATTCTCATACCAGAAGCAAGACTTCAACACCCTCAAAGTTTCCACTTCTCTACTTCCTCTGTTCCTCTCAGATATTTTCTTTGTATAATCACCTCCTGGTGACCACTTCCCTGTGGGACAGTCAGGTACAACCCATTTGACTTGCCCTCTTAACTGCCTCCCCCCACTCTGCAAAGATTGTAAAGATCCACTATACCTACAATCTCTCAGTCAAATTGTAACTCTACCCAGCTTGTGTTTGCTGGTTAACGCTCCTGCTGGGGTAAGAGTTTGGCCCACACAGTGCAGTCCTGTACTGCTGTAAACTGAAGGGGACAAGGGGACATGGGGGTTGGGGATGTAGCTCAGTGATAATTACAATTGTAATGCTAATTACAATACCATATGAACTCAGGGGACCCAACTATTGACTTCCTCCTCCTCCTACATGGCATAATTTTAAACCTGGGTTTAATCCTCAATACCACAAGAAGCAAAAAAACAAAAACAAAACAAACAAAAAACCCCAGCTTTGACCCACAAGTACTTCCTTCTCTCTCTTGCTTTCTACCCACAGGTTGAGTGTGCATTTCCCAGAGGGTCCACACTTCCTGTGATCTCTACTACCAGGAGCGCTGGCCTCTTCTCCCTGGGATGTGTAAGTAACACATGGATTCTTCATTTCATGTGGTTTGTTTTTCTGCCTCTGGTGTGTCCTACTTGTCCAAAAGAACCAAAATCGACTTTCCTCCTAAAAAGAGCTTTCCTACAAAGTGGCTATCTTGGTAGGAATAAACTGGACACAGGTAAGGCAAGAGCCCCAGGGGTGTCAGCCAGTATAAACAACGCTTCCCAGATCACACACTGAGGCATGGGGCTGTTCACCAGGATAAGGAACTTTCTGGGAAAGACACCCACGTCCACCTCCCCTACTGCCCCATCTGGATTTACAACCACTCTCTCAAGTCCAAAGCACGGGAAAACCATGACACCTTGCTCCTCAAAGGTGATAGTGAACCATTACAAGACACGGAAATTGGTACTGTCACATATTTGTGTACTAGAAAATAATTCCTGTGTGAGGAATATAAATTCAAAAATATAATCATTGTTTTGTCATAAAATTGAAGATTTCTTTTACTTTCTCCAGTTTTCAAAAATTTGCAATAAATAAAAAATTTCAGTTTTTCAAGTTGAGTGGCATATAGCTTTTTTGTGACTAGATTTTAAAAACAAAACTAAATTTAGAATAGTTGTGTATAGTTTATTATTACTCATAGGATTTTTAAAAAATATTTTGATTTTAGTTGAAGTTGGACATAATACCTTTATTTTATTTATTTATTTTTATGTGGTGCTGAGACTCAAACCCAGGGCCTTGCACATGCTAGGCGAGCACTCTACCGCTGAGCTACAACCCTAGCTCCTCATAGGATTTCTTTAAAGGAAAGTAAGTTATATATAAAACATCATGTTTTTAATTTCTAGATTGTGAATGGCATGTCAGAATTACATCTATCAGCTTTAAGTAACAACTGTTGTTTTTTAGACATAGAACTATTGGGAATTTTAAAGTTAAGCAAAAAAGAAATTAAAATTTTGTTTAAATGAACACAGGGTACCTATGTTAGTTCATATACTGGTGTTTTAAATTACATGCAGAACAGGATGAGAACAAATTCTGTGTTTAATAGAATACCTTGAACAACACTGACTCTACTAAACACCAACACTTATCAACAGTCACATTTCAGGTAAAAGTTCTAAAAATAAAGATAATCATAAAAGTTCACATAGTGAAAATCTATCCTTTTCTATAGATAAAATGCTGATATGGCTTTGACCCCAATCTTTTCTGCATAATTGTGCTATAATTTAAAACATAAGTTTCTGTATAATTGAAGTAATAAAAACCTTTACAAACCCAGTAAAGACACGTCGGCTATGATGAAGTATCCCCCATCAGGAACTATGGGTTTCAGGCCAACACTTTCAAGTAAACGCACCATCCGATCTCTTTTTACTTCTAATTCTTTTGGCAAAGAATTAAAGTAACACTCTGGGTCATCCATGCGCTTGATATCAATCCAAAGAGCTTGAGCCAAGGCTTCCTGTATATTAAGGTTGAAAAATGTGGAGAGGAAATATGGTAATGTTAGTCATTGCTCAGTTTATTGGTATAATAAATAAAGATCATCTGAGTACTATTATTGGCAAAAAGATCATTCAGGAAATTCTGGTGAACCTATATGGAGGAATCAGTTATAAGAAAATGATTAAATGTAACTTGACAGACTCATTCTGAGTCATGAAAGTCCAAATTGAAAAGAGTAAGTATTATCTAAAGATGGTTTATTTGGTTAAAAAAAATCATTAAGATTGAGGTGAGATGCAGAATGATTTGCCAACTCTAAGTCTGAAAAATGACCCACTGTGTTGAGGAGGACATGTACTCCCCATTCCCCATAGTGTGGAAATCCTAGCTATAAACACTGATAACCCTGAAATGTAGTCTAAATGAAATAAGGATCAGCAATGAGTTTCTGGAGCATGTGGGAAACTCTTCTACCTCTCTCTAAGCAAATCAGAAAAGCCAGGAAGAGAAGCTGGGTCAAGAAACAAGTTAATGTTAAATGCAATGGACTTAATGTTTATGTCCTCTAAATCCATTTGTTGACTTCTTTTTTTAAATTTATTTTTTTTAATATTTATTTTTAAATTTTCAGCGGACACAACATCTTTGTTTGTATGTGGTGCTGAGGATCGAACCCAGGCCGCAAGCGTGCTACCGCTTGAGCCACATCCCCAGCCCCATTTGAGGACTTCTTAATCCCTGAGGTAATGGTATGACGGGGCTGGGCCTCTGGGCAATGATTAAATCAAGAGCACAGAGCCCCCAGGAATTGTATTAGTGTCCTTATAAAAGGGAGCTAATTCATCCCTCCCACTACTGTGTCCACTGGGAGGACAAAGTGAAAAAGTGACATTCATGAGGAAACAGGCCCTCATCTGATGCAGAATCTGCCAGTGCCTTGATCTAGCACTTCCCAGCCCCAAAACTGTAAGAAATTTCTTTTGTTGATAAGCCACCTGGTCTGTGGTCCTTTGTTATAGCAGCCTGAACAGACCAAGATGTAAAGGATCGGGCAATGTCTGAAGGAGGCAACAGGCCAGGAACAACTAAACAGGGCAAAACCAGGATACACAAAAAGAACAAAGATCTGCACATGCAGAGAGCAGAAACTCAGCAGGCAAAATGAACAGGGATGGCTTAGAAAGGATGGTATCGGAGCCAATAAGGAGATCCAGGCAAAGAACCAAGAACTGGAATAGCTAAGAGAGAGAGAGAGAGAGAGAGAGAGAAGAAAAGAGCAGAGTAGTTATTTTTTTTCTCTCTCTCTCAGTTCATAAAGTTTATTTTTGTATTTTAGTATTCTGTACTGAATACTAAATGAACAAACTTCATTTAAATGCCCACTATGTGTTAGGCTCTGAGCCTAGGATACACAGATAAGTTAGGGAGGAAAATACATAAAGAAATAAATGTCACTCTGTGAACAGGAAGCAAAGCAGTCAAATTTTAAGGAGATGAACCAGAAGCAAAAGATGTCAAGAACTAAAGGATAAATTCAGTAAATATATATTGAGGAACTATATAAATGTTAAGCTTGGAGTTCAGGTAAGAGTTGGAAATAAAACAATTAACAAGCTATAATCCTTGTTTATAGAGTTTCCAATTAGTACAGTCTGGAAGGGATGAGGGTGGAGAGGAGAAAACAAATAAATGAAAATGGCAAGATATAATTTGTTCTGTTGGAAGAACTGAGAGAAGTTCAGTGCGGCTGAACAGCAGCAAGAGGTCTCACATGACAAGACATGAGAACACAGAGCAGGCTTCATGGCAAAAGAATTTAGCAATAAAATAGCATTAATAATTCCACAGTATTAAGAAACCAGGAACCAGTTTCCAAACATGGCTGAGGGAAAAACAGGACACCTAGCTGAAATGGAGAATAAGGTGATGCAGAGAAAAAAGATGCTTGAGATTCTCAGCTATATCTTTTTCTTATTCATTCACTGTAGAAGATAGTGCCCTAGAAAATTCAAAGTGCAAAGACAGAAGCAGTCTAACTGCAGCATTATCCTGGACTCCTCTCTTTTTCTCAAAACCCATAAAGAATCCATCAACAAAAACTGTTAGTTTAACTTCAAAACATATTCAGAATGCAATCACTTTTCGCCAAGTCTCCCATCGCCTTATTGGCTCAATTTACTGGCACTTCTTTCCTGAATCTTTGGAAAGTCTTTCTCACTCACTAACGCACCAGATCTCCTTGATGACACAAGCCAGAATATGTCATTGATGTGCTCAAAACTCTCCAGTGGCTGCCTGTGTAGTGACATTGTCTTAAGCAACATAGTCTTAAGAGTGACATACACAGCTCAGCTTGATCCGACCCCCAGCTATCCCTCTGGTCTTAGGTCCTCCAACTCTTCTCTCTAATTATCCCATCCCTGCCTCTATGCTGGTTACTGATACAAACTGCCAGTCAGATTGTCAGGGCATTTGCATTTCTAGAAGGCAGTCCACAGCGTTCTTCTCTAGGTAACCACCTGATTGCTAAACCTCCTAAAGTCACCTTAGTGAGGCTCACAAAGATTACCGTATATAACATTGTATATTCCTCCCTTGGCACTCTATATTCCTTTTCTTCTCTGCTTCACTTTTTTTTTCTTTGCCTCTATCAGCTTTGGACACCTTATATTTTAAAAATACTTGTGTATTATTTTGTCTGCTCTAACTTCAGTACTCAGAAAACAGTTGTTAAATAACTGAATGGATTTATTAAAAGGATAATATGACTTTGATATATAATAAAACTGGGCATAGTGGTACATTCCTACAATCCCAGCTACTCAGGAAGCTGAGGGAGGAAGATCACAAGTTCAAGGTTAGCCTCTGCAATTTAGTGTGACCCTGTCTCAAAATAAAAAAGAACTGGGGACGGAGCTCAGTGGTAAAGAGCTCCTGGGTTCAATTATCAGTATCAAATGGGTCCAAATATTAGATCTGGCCTTTTTCATAGTATTACTTAAAAAGAGAAAGAAAGAAAAAGAAAGAAAGAAAGAAAGAAAGAAAGAAATAAAGAAAGAAAGAAAGAAAGAAAAAAGAATTTCAATGAAACCTTTTCCTATTAAGCAGGTATTTGTTCAAAGGAAGCAAAAAAATTAAGTCAATTCTGTGAAGCCAATACACTGGAGTCTTTTGTCCTTTAACTGCCTTCTAGAAATACAATATTTTTTTCCACATTTTGGTTATTCACAGAATGATAAATAGATTTATTTCTGTAAATAAACACAAAAGTAGAAATAATATACATTAAAAGTTCTGATACCTACTCCTGTCCCTATCTACTAATTTCATCCACTTCTCTTAACCTCCCAAATAGCCACTTTTACTAGTTTCTTAGGATCCTTCCAGAGTTCCTTCAAGAAAAACATAAGAGGGCTGGGGATGTGGCTCAAGCAGTAGCGCGCTCGCCTAGCATGCGTGCGGCCTGGGGTCGATCCTCAGCACCACATACCAAAAAGATGTTGTGTCCGCCGAGAACTAAAAAATAAATATTAAAAAATTCTCTCTCTCTCTCTCCTCTCTCACACTCTCTTAAAAAAGAAAAAAAAATTAAAAAAAAGAAAAACATAAGAAGTCCTCCTATTCTTATACAAAATGTAGCATAAATATATGTGTACCTTGTTTTTTTTAACTTCATAATATATTCTGGAAAATTTTCCATATCAGTACTTTCAAAGTTTCTTGTTCTCTTTCTCTTTTCTGTTCTTTTAAATAGCTATTGCAGTAGATGAAATAATGTTCCCCAAAAATGCTTGTATCTATAAAACTCATAACCTGTAATGTCACCTTATATGGTAAAAGGAACTTTACAGATGTGATTTAAATTAAGAGTCTTGGGTTGAGAGAATATTCATCAGGGATAATGTAATTACACAGGTCCTTATGAAGGAAAGAGGAGGTAGAAGAGTTAAGAGTCACAAAATTATGTGTTGGCAGAAAGCAGAGGTTGGAGGGATGTGACCACGAGCCAAGGAATGCGGGCAACCTTAGAAGCTGGAAAAGGCAAGGAAGTGATTCTTTCCTACACCTCCAGGGGGAAACGCAGCAATGCCGACACCCATTGTTTAGCCCTATAAGATCCATTTCCAGCTTCTGACATGTAAGATAACAAATTTATGTTGTTTTAGGTCACTAGATCTGTGGTACTTTGTTATAGTAGCAAGAATAAATTAATAAAGTCATATAATATTTTGATACTTGACTAGATCAAGGTTTATTTAACTACCTGTCCATAGATGTGTAATGGACTACACCCAATCATCTGCAATAAACAGCCACGTCTATCTCTATCTTGCATGTGCTGATAATAGCTGTAGCGTAAATCCTCAGAAGATGGATTGCTGTTTATAGAGTTAGCAATCTGTAATTTTTTTTTAAAGAGAGAGTGAGAGAGGAGAGAGAGAGAGAGAGAATTTTTTTAATATTTATTTTTTAGTTCTCGGCAGACACAACATCTTTGTTGGTATGTGGTGCTGAGGATCGAACCCAGGCCGCACACATGCCAGGTGAGCGCGCTACCGCTTGAGCCACATCCCCAGCCCAGCAATCTGTAATTTGCTGAGTGCTACCACCATCCTTCAGAGAGTTGGTAGCACTTTGTATTCCCCACAGCAATGTACGTGTGTTCAAAGAAACAAAACAAAACAAAAGAAAGAAAACACAGCCCCATAACAGTGACTATGCATCTGCTCCTAAATTCCCAGATTATATTAGAAGGCCCTGCTCAGGGAGGACCTGGAGGGAAGAATAAAGTCAATTCAAACATGCAAATAAAAGTGACACCTCCACCAACAACCCATGTTTCAACTCCCTGTTGTCCCAACACCTACCTGTAAAGGAGTTGCACAAGTATAAACAGTGTTTTGTTGAACCGTCTGTAAATGTTTTATCAAATGATTGGGACCAATGGTCCAGCCAAGCTGGGAAAGAAAAAAATAAAAACAGGTTTCAAAAATTTGTCTGATAATATGTACCAAATTGGAGACAGTAGTTAATGCAGTTGTTAAATACAGGCAATTCAGAAATGTTCATGTTAAAGCCAGGCACAGTGGAACATGCCTATAATTCCCAGCAGCTCAGGAGGCTAAGACAGAAGGATGACAAGTTAAAGGCCAGCCTTAGAACTTCCTGAGACCCTCTGCCCCCAGCTCCAAAATCGGGCTGGTGATGTAGCTCAGTAGCAGAGCACCCCTGAGTTCCATCCCTAGAAATGCATCTGTATACACACATATACACAGAATAAATTAAAAAGAAAAAAAAAGAAAAGAAAGAAATGTTCACACTATGAAAGCAGGCATTCATACTTAAAATTTCAACACCATCCTTTTGGTGTGAGTTTCCAACTGGAGTCTCTAAGCAATGTCTTCTTCACTGAGCTCTGCCTTTGGAAGGTAAACAAAGCCTGTAATCATTATTAACCTTCCCTCCCTCTACTAATTTGTGTCTTCTGGTATTTCCAGTGGGAAAGCTTGTGTGAATTATAGATACATGTAACTCTGAAGGAGGGCCTAGAGAACTCTCACATCATCAAAACATCAAAGCCTTTGATTCTGGAGGCCTCCTTTTGATGCTCTCTGCATCTTGGCCATGTTCAGTAGGGATGAGGCTGGAAGAGAACTGAGTTTCAATTGGATGCATTTATTTTTTAGTAAACAGTATGGTGGTTAAGTACATGAATTTTGAATTCAAGTCTGCCATGGCTTGAATTCATCAGCAGTATAATCTCAGGCAAGATATTTAACTTTTCTGTGTTTTATTTTATCATCTGTAAAACAGGGATAATAATTGTACCCATCCTATAATGTTATAAGAATGAAAAGAATTAGTACATGTAAAACACTTTAGAGTCTGGTACATGTAAATGGCAAAATATTCATCATTATTATTTTTCTTCTTTTATGCTGAACTTCCTTTGCAAAGAAAAAATAGCATCAGTTGATCACTTATAAAATAAAAAATTACCTAATTTTTCTTACTTTTAAAGATGTTATTGGATCTCAATAAGAATGAAGCTCAAAGTCAGGTACAGTGGCGCCAGTCTATAATCCCAGTGGCTGGGGAATCTAAGGCAGGAGGATGGAAAGTTCAAAGCCAGCCTCAGCCACTTATTGAGGCCCTAGGCTAATTAGAGAGACCCTGTCTCAAAATAAAACATAAAAAGGCCTGTGGATGTGCTCAGTGGCTAAGAACTCCTAGGTTCAATCCCTAGTACCAAAACAGAATGAAGTTCAACATGAAAGTTGAGTAAATCAATAAACAAAAGATGATTAAGTATAAAAACCTATGTAATGTGAATATATATACACTTAACACAAAAACCACTACAAAAAATATAATACATGCCTATTTTTAATAAATTTAAAAAAATCTGGGGATGCTTGGCATCAAACCCAGGGCCTCTCACATGCTAAGCACATGCTGTACCATGAGCTACATCCCTAAATTCTTATTCCTCTTACCTTCCAGCCGGTCACACTGAAAGTTTTCCCAGCACTTCCTATTGTGACTGTTCTTTCCCACATACCTGGAAATGTGGCTGAAAAAAAAAGGTTAAAAAAACTGTTTTCCAATCAATCTACATTTAGTAGAATCTAAAAACAAAGGTACACGAATTCAATGAAAACAAATATATTGATTACAGAGAAGTTAATATAGTTATATCAATAGGTTTTTGTCAGATAGTCCAAACTCAGCTGAAAATGTTGCAGTGCTTTAGAATATACAATGTTGTACCAAAATAACATGTAAATAGATTTAATAATTTTAAGTGGCAAAATTATTCCCATGGGCAGGAGTGGCAGGGATATCAGTAGGCAGCAATCCAGGCCAGGCCAAGTGGCAGCTGTCAGATGAATTGTGGCAACCAGTGCTCAGTGCTAGGAGTAGCTAGCTGTATGTCAAACACAATGATCCTTTGGCATGGTCTTAGTTGAGATCGAGTCCTGATTACTGCATAGCCTCCCTTTATTCTGCTCATTTTCTGAGTTTGTTTCTCTAAGCTTCTCAGAGCAATGATTCTTAAAACGTGGCCCCACACCAGCAATACCAGCATCACTGTAAGAAAGGCAGTTTGTTTGGCTTCATTCCACACCACTGAATCAGACACTCTGAGGGCGGGCCTATTAATCTATGTGTATGTGTTCTGCTTATGTCTCATGGATTGAGAGATAAACCCCACATCATATAATTTGCTCACTTAAAGTGTACAATTCAGTTGTTTTCAATATACCCACAGAGTTGTGCAACCATCACTACAATCAATTTTAAAACATCTTTCCACCTCAGAGGGAGCTCTGTACTCTTTAGCTTCACCCTCTGATAACTCCAACGCCACCAACAACAGAAGCTGTACCTGAGTTTATCAAATACACACATTTTCTCTGAAAGGTACATGACAGCCTTTTTGTGCTTAGGAACACTAGCCAGCACTTTTGCACTATGCTTTTGGGCAATTTTAAACAGCAAAATCACCACGTAGGATGCTTCTTATAGATGAGCTAAAGCAAGAAGAGTATCACCTTATTCAGCCTCAACTGGGAATGCTGTGTTGGGTGAGGCAAATTTCTGGTCCTTCTTTGAATGAAGTGCTGTTTCAATTACGAGGTTGCAAATGTATTTTAGGGACTGGATTAATTTGCAAATAAATAATTTATAATGAGAATCAATTGTGCAAAAGTTTTTAAGTTGATAAAATCTTTAAAAATCATTCATTTATTTGTTCAGCCCTCAGATATGTATTAGCAATTAACCCCCACAGGGGTCCTCATCTGCACCTGACTCTTACCTTTACTTAAAAAAATCCAACCAAAATCCAATTCATCTGCCTTGTCATACATTTTGCAATAGTTCTCAAAGTATGCTACCCTGGTGATCATGTCAATGTATAGGACTTTAAAAAAAAAATCAATTTTGTTTTCTTCCACACAATTTTTTGAAGCTTTTGGCAATTGCTGCGATTTATCTGACAGTGAATGCTATGTGCTGTGGAATAAATGAATCTTGGTGAATGGATCTTAATGGCAAAATCAGAAAAACTCGAATGTGTCGGTTTCAATAGGTCTTTGTTACTGACAAGTATGAATAGCACTGTGATTTTCATATTGATTTTTAATTGTCAGATTTCTGTCAGGAAGAATCGCTTCTAATTTCAAGACAGAACTGCTCCTAATTTCATCATGTCACTATTTTATGATGCACAGAATGCTGTGGTTTCAAGGTGCTATCCGAGGAATGTTTTAGAATACATGATCTCTGCAACCAAGTTTATACTCTTTATTCTCATATAAAAGTCCTTCAGGATGCCCTTCTTCCCTATCCTCATTGGTGCCAGCCACTGTAGCACACCCTTATAAATCAAATCATTTATCTTTCTAAGTCTATATTGATCTTTCATGCCTCCCTGTCTAAGGATGTGCTCATTATCTGATAGGAATTTAGTTTTCATTTCTCATCTACTTCATTCCATCTTTTGCCTACTGCTTTTCTGATTCACTCCAGCAGTTGCGGTCTCCTCCCACCTTTACATCTGTTTGGAATATATGTTAGAAACAGTCACAACACGTGCCACGACTCATTATATACACGTGCACTAATTTTTAAACTTAATTTATTTCTCTCACAGAATCTTTGAGTCTTCCTTTCCTTGTTCTTTTTCTATTTCCTATTCATTTATTCAACAACTACTTTCTCCATGTCTACCACCTGCAAGATCCTATTCTGAAAAATGGAGATTGAGAAACCAATGTAAACAATAATCTCTACCATCTTGTAGTTTTCAAGTAAAATACGTAGATTCTGATATTTACAATAAAGAGGGGGAAAAGCAAAATAAGGTAGAAAATGGACAAAGCAAAGTCCAAGGAGAGAAGGGTCACTATCTTAAATGTGAAGGTCATGAAAAGTGACATGAGAGCAAAGACCTGAAGGAGGGAATAATTGGGAGAAAGTGTTTCCAGGCAAAGGAAGGGCAAGTGCAAACACTCAAAAATGTTGCAGCTTAGCTTACAAGTTTAGGCCCCAGAAAACACGGGCATTTATGAGATGGCCCAGTAGCAATGGCAGCATCCCAGGCAAGGACAGAGAGGCAGTGACTTACTGTCCCATAATTCCTTCTGGTTGCCTTGGCATTTGGCATCTTGCACAGCACTGAGTATAGAACCATTCAGGAACAATTGTGCTTCTTCTGTCTAATGTACTGATACTGAGGAACAGCAGGATTCTTGCTAAGAAGCCAAAGAGCACTACTCTGTTGTCTTCTCAGCTTTACATTGTGATTCTTTCCCTAAGTTTAAGCTTGTACTGTTAGTCTGTCATGCTGTTCATTAATTCAGGAGAGAAGAGTCATTCAAATAGCTATTTTTAAGGGCTCAGGCAGATGTCCACTACAAGGTCTATTTTAAAGCTGGCATGGGATCCTTTCCCATCAGTTGCTCTACATGTGCCCAAACACATTTAGATTTGTGACTCTGTGTAATCATCAGTACCTATTTTTAAATGCTTATTTCCAGTATATACAAGCCATTCATAAACTTCATCACTGATGCAGAGTGTGTCATATTTGATGCAAAGGTCAGCAATTACTTGGAGTTCCTCTTTGGTGTACACCTACACATATTAAAGGAAAGAGCGCAGCCAATTATTATTCCACATGTGGGAAAACAACAGGTCAAAGACTGTATAGAGTTGAAAGACTCGCTTACCTTGCCAATGGGGTTGTGTGGAGTATTTAGTATAATGGCTTTGGTTTTAGAATTAAATTTACTTTCCAATTCTTGAGGATCTAATGTCCAGTCAGAACTAGACCATTTTTTTCCATCAACAGGTTTCTAAGCATGAAGAATTAAGATGTGATTTAATGTAATGAATTCATTTTGCTGTCTTACAAATAAATATTCTAATAAGGAAAAAATTAGAGAAAGGCCTGGTCAAGATAACTGACTACATGACTAACAAAGAACATAAATAGAAATAACTGGGCTTTAGTTCTGCCTTGAGAGCTCAAGAGGACCAGAGTCTTATGTGCACACCTGTTAAAGGAAAAATGAACCTGTCAACATTAACAGCTGTTAACATGCCTGTTTTCTTCCCCAGGGACCAGCCGTAACTATGGTTAATGTGTGATACTACAAGGCTAATGGAAATTCTGTGATTCCTCTTAGTGTATTAATTTGAAAAGACTTAGAAACTTCATAGTTCCTTTTGACAAAGTAATTGGTATTTTCAAGAATTTTTTTTATATATATTTTATTTTTTAGTTTTTGGCAGACACAACATCTTTATTTGTATGTGGTGCTGAGGATTGAACCCGGTCCGCACACGTGCCAGGCGAGCGCGCTACCACTTGAGCCACATCCCAGCCCTATTTTCAAGAATTCTTAAAGCATATGAGCTGAATGGCAAACTTACAGATCGTAGGGGAATAAATACAGGTGTTGCTCCAGCCATTCTCACCATGGGCTCATAGCAGTCATAGAAAGGGATCATTATTATGACCTGAAATAAGAGCAAATAAGAACACAACATGCGAATCCTTAGTTCATGGTACAAATATTGTGTACTTACAAGGCACTATACTATATTCTAAGATGTAGCAGTGAAAAGGGTGAGATTTGCCTTTAGGAAACGAATGTGTGAGGGCAAAAGACTTTGATATAAACTCGTTCATGGAGTCTAAGTTGCTGTCCTCAGTATTTCTGGGAAACCTATACATGGGCTTGCAGTGGGGACAATTAAGATGTATATAAAATTTACATGTACATAGGTAGATTTATCAGGGGAAAAGTACCATACCTTTCATTACATTTTTTAAAGGGATATTTATTCTAAGAAAAACTGTTAAGAGTTTCTTTCTTTGTTAATTTTATTTTTTGTAATTGTAGATTGAACCAAGGGTGCTTACCCACTAAGCTATATACCCAGTCCTTTTTATATTTTTATTTTGAGACAGGGTCTCACTAAGTTACTGAGGGTCTTACAAAGTTGCTAAAACTGTCCTTGAACTTGGGATCCTTCTGCCCAGCTGTCAGAGTGCTGGGATTACAGACAGTGCCAAGAGTTTCTTTATATTTCAAGATAAAAAATACAATCCAGAATATAATTGATATATTAGATAGTGATGAGATCATAAGGAAAGAGAACACTCAATGCTATCTGGCCTGGACTGCTGATTCACAAACATTACCTTGAGAGTAAAGGTATTCTTTCTTCTCAAAAGTATCTTGTAGCAAAGAGCAGATGCAGGGAGATCAGTCAGAATGCTATTGTTCCTGTCTGATACCCACAATTTCCATTCAGGGACACAGTATCTGGAGTCTTCTTCTCCTAGTCCTTTAGAATATTCCTTACCCTTGGCTCCTACAAGCTTTCTCCCAGTCACTCCTGGCTGGGCTCCCAGGTTGAGTGGCCCACCTGCCAGCACCCCTAACTTTTTGACTTTTTATAAGGAGAATCCGAATGCATAATTTATAACCATCATTACATTCAATTTTTCTTTTTACCTTTTTAAAACCCAGCCATATTTCATGAAAATTTCATCTTATTATAGTTTCCCTATTTAATACGTTGCATAAATTCAAATAATTGTTATCTTTGGAATAAAGAGTAAAAATATTTTTTATGGATAAAAATGTAGACAAATTATTTTTGAAAAACCTGACAATAATGTATAATTTCATAAATCTATAACTTATCTCATTTAACTTTTTGCTGATTAAATGTAATGGTACCCAGTTGCTGTTTTAAATATGCACATTTTACTGTCTGTATTTCTTGTGCTGTGTGCCTTTCACATGGGAGTCATATATCCTAAAAGCCCCTTGGCACTAGTCAACTCAGGCTAAGTACAGCCTGCCAAGTACAGTGGGATAAGCTTGGTGTCAGGAACAAAGGAGGAAAAAGAAACGGAGCAGGAATGAATCCTCCTCCAAGTGGACAATAAACTCTTTGTCCATCCATGAGGTTCTCAGGAACTAAGATGATCACCTGTGCAACCCTGGTGCAAAACTCAGTGCTCAATACAAGGTGAGGGCTCCATGAAAGAAAATAAACCAGGAAGAAGGGAGGTAGAGTGGACAAGGTGCACCTCACGTCCTTTACCTTTCTGATGGACTAATTCCCTGTTTTGGAAAGTGCACATTGAGCACTCGTTATCATGGGTGCTGGCAGCACAGCAATGGCCAAGTTCTCCCAGAACTTATATCCACTAAGACAGACTTACAATGAATGAGAAGGCAAGTCAATAAACGAGATAATTTTAGATAGCAATACACTATAAAGAAAATAAAATAGGTTAGTTTAATAGAGAAGGGCATAAATGTGGTTTCGAAATATTAGATAAAGTGATGAAGGAAGAAAGAGAGAAAAGAAGTCCCAGAGCTGACCTGTGGCTACTCCAACACAGTCAGAGTCTGAAAAAGCAACCAAGGATCAACAGCATCAAGACATGAGATGAGACTTTCCCCTACATTATAGGTTAAAAGAGATTGTGTATATGAGAGTGTGACTGCGGTCCTCAACTTGTTTCTTTAATATCACATTGTCTGGCTTAGTGGAGAGAATTTCAGTTGCAAAATAACAATTCAAGATAGAGAGTGGTATCTTGTATAAAGGTGATATGATGAAGAGCTATAAGAGTTCAAAGAAAGTTAACAATATAGAGCAGAATAAATATTCATACTTCAGACCAGCTTACGCAATGCTACTGTGGAGCGTTCTAGATCTTTATTACCCGGGTTGATGGCTTCTCCCTTTTGTCGCTACTATAAATTATACATTCTCCACCACTGACTAACACAGCATTCCTCTTATTCCATTTTCAAGTCTGTCTCCTCTACACATAGTGAATCCCTTTTAAGTAAAAACTGTCTTTTAAAATGTTCTTTCTCACAGTGCCTAACACATAGGAGATTCTTGGTAATTTCTGAATACGTGAAAGAGGTCAAGAAACATGAAAGCAAGGAATATTAGAAGAACATCAGGGAGGCAGTGGGAGACGGCTATGACAGGGGCCCCCATGTTGATCTTGCATCATGGTACTAAGGGCAGAAAGCACTAGAACATCCTGATTTATTTATCTTCACACTACACTTCGACTTTGATTCTGAACACAAAAAAGAAGACCAAATAAATACTTGCTGAATGAGTTCAGATTAAAGGTCATTTTTAACAATAAAAACAAAGGATTCTTTTCCCTCATCATTGCTAGCCTTTTCCACCCACTCTTATCTAAGTAGGTTATAAAAATAAGAAAAAAACTAATGCAATTAAATGGATGAATCTCTCAGATATAACTATAAACAAGTACATGCTGTATAATTCTATTTATGCTAAATAAAAGAGGAACCAGAGTGAACCTGTTGTGATAGAAGATTTTTCCAGGAGAATACAGACTAAGAAAGGGCAGGAAGAAGTTTCTGGGATGCTGAGAATGCAGGTTGTCTTTCTCTAGGTTGTAGTTATGGGGAAATTTACCCAGCTCCACATTCAGGATAATGTGAACTTCACTATGTGTGCACTAGACTTTAAAAGTAATTTAAAATAGAAGAGAAGGCAGAGTAAGTAAAAGATTCAAAGGTGGGACAAAAGATAATGATTAATACAGTATTACAATGTTGATATACTTACTTCATCTCCTTCATCAATTAACCCTTGAATGGCATTAAAAAGAGACCCATATGCTCCTACTGTCACAAGGATTTCTTTATTCGGATTGATTTCTTTTTGATAAAACTTTTCATATAGGGAGGACAGAGCTTTCACAAGTGGCGGATGACCCTGTGAGATTACAAAATAAGAAAAAACCTTGAATTTGATTAAGGAACCTAATTACTTGTGGTAAAGACATGCACACTACTGTTGATGTGATAGCAAATGTTAGGAGGAAAACAGAGTATTACTCATATTGATTGTCAAGACAGCAGGAGTTGCCAGTCAAGGTGGCACACACCTATAATCCCAGCAGCTCAAGAGGCTGAGGCAGGAGAACTCAGCAACTTAGAAAGGTGCTAAGCAACTCAGTGAGACCCTGCTCTAAATAAAATACAAAAGAGGGCTGGTGATGTGGCTCAATGTTTAAGTGCCCCTGGGCTCAATCCCCAGTACCAAAAACCAAACCAAAACAAAACAAAAACAAAACAGCAGGAGTTATCAGTAATAACCACTTTCTTTCTTTTTGTGTGTATGGTGCTGGGGATTGAACCCAGGGCATGTGAAGCAAGCACTCTACCAACTGAGCTATATCCCCAGCCCTCCTCTTTCTTTTCTTTTTCCTCCCTCCCTCCCTCCCTTCCTTCCTTCCTTCCTGGCATTGAACTCAGGGGCACTTAGTCACTGAGTCACATCCCAGTCCTTTTTTGTATTTTACTTAGAGACAGGGTCTTACTGGGTTGTTTAGTGCCTTGCTAAGTTGCTAAGGCTGGGTTTGAACTCGCAACCCCCCTGCCTCAGCCTCCTGAGCTGCTGGGATCACAGGCATGCGCTACTTCGCTTGGCAATAACCACTTTCATAAGCGAGAAAGAAAGGATTATAAATGTACAAAGTCTGAGGCATGTAGAAACTCCTTTGTTTAAAATTTTCTTTTTAATTAACATGGTAATTATACACAATTACAGGGAACAGTGTGATAATTTGATATAAGTATACAATGTACAAAGATCAAAGGGTAATTAGCATTTCCATCTCCTTATCATTTTTTAAATATTTGAATCCCTTTTTTCATTCCTCATAAGGCACTTTTTAAATTGATGAATCTAGGTAAAAGTCACACTTATTGATCTTTTCAAAGAACCATCTTCCAGTTTAACTGATTTTCTCTACGGCTGTTCACCTCACCTCTAGATGTTCATCGTGGAGTTGAATGTGGCTGGGGAGGAGGTATGTGAAGCAGGTCTGAGGAGGATCTACGGGGAGCAGGGATCCCACCTTCTCAACCCTGTGACATAGTTAGACGAGTAGAGACAAGACACAGAATGACTTCCTCCATATCTTGTCTTTTCCCATTTCTACACTGTCATAAAAGGCGAAAACAAATGTCCAGCTGTGTGACTCTACTGCTTTTAGCACAACAGATAAGAAGCTATAGTTCAGAGGTTCATTTTAATCTAGAAAATGTGGAAATTCCAGGCATTTTACCACAGAAGAATGAAGAAAAGGGAGGATAGAAAGGAAGAAAGTAACCAATTAGAAATAGGATATTAATTAAGGTCAAAGGTGAGGGTGCATGAATGTTAATGACATTAAAACACACACACACACACACACACACACACACACACACATACACATTTCAAGGAAATATTCTCCCAGGCTGAGGTTGTAGCTCAGTGGTAGAGCACTTATCTCACATGTGTGAGGCACTGGGTTCACTTCTCAGCATCACATATAAATAAATGAATAAAATAAAAGTCCATCAACAACTAAATATATATATATATATTTAGTTGTTAATATATATATATATAATATTCTTCCTTCTGTTGTTGCCCTAATATACAGAATTGGAAAGTAGAAAAATAAAGGCCCAGACTGAAAGGACTTTCCTAGGAGATAAAGGCAAGGGGGAAAGTATCTGTGGGGCCTGGTTTGGGACAGGGGATCCCAGAAAGCCAACAACACATACATGACAGAAGTCCACACACCTACGGCACAATACAAAACATATGCCTTTAGGGTCCCGATGCACTTACAAAGCCCCGTGTGTACTGATTCAGGCTATCGATCAAAGCGACCTTTGATAACTCTTCTTTTACATATGAAGGAGGGGAGATATCTGGAAGGCCTTGGCCAAGATTCACGACAGAGGGATCAGCAGCCAATTTAGTAAATTCAATCCTAAGATTAAAAACAATAAGACTTAAATTTAGACACTCAAATTGCAAGTTTCATACAACAATTTTATCACTGAGTTTACCTAATAAAATGATGGCTGGATTAATGAACTTAATGTTCATTTGCAGACCCCAACTCCAAGATTCCCATATTTTAAATACACACATATAAACACAAATACGTGTGTTTGTGTGTGTGTGTATTCCTTTTTTTTTTTTCCCCCTCAACTATTCCTAACTGCTGCTAGGTTATCAATTGTTAGCAAACAGAACTAATTCTGGGTGCAGTGTCACATGCCTGAAATTCCAGTAACTCAGGAGGCTGAGGCAGGAGCATCCAAGTTTGAGGCCAGCCTCAGCAACTTAGTGAATGAGACCCTATTTCAAAAAAGGCAGGGGGAGGGAGGGAGAGGGAGAGGGAGAGAGAGAGAATGAATAAGAAAAGTTAATGAAAAAAAAAAAAAAGAAAAGTCCATGGTTTAGAAGGAAAGTTCGATGAGGACATCCATTAAATTAGGTTTTTTTGGTGCCCTGTGCCTAGTGCCTAGCAGAGCTCGCTTCATTTGCTAGATGAACACATTAAGGCATGGATGACTAACTTCCTTTCATTTCTATCTGATGAATGAATTAAATGAATGACTTCAATTTTCAACTATGGATGTAGGTAAAAATCTTCAAATAATTTAAAAAAATACCCTGGAAAATCTCATCAAATTACTATTGTTTATTCTAAGATACTCACCATACATTACGGTCAAGTCCTTCAATTCTTTTCGAATTTTTGAATTTCAGAGACATTTTCTGAAAGGCATAAACATTGAAAGGATCTTTTACTTTTTTAATCAAAATTTGAGGTCAGTGAATCATGTGTTACTCTTCCTTTTCTGTATTGTCTCTGTGTCAATAGTACCACCACAGAGAGTTCTAGAACACAACCCAAGATGCTGAACATTTCATCTCCTACCTACATTCTAGAGTGCTTTTAGTACCTACAATCATCCTACTCTAAAGAGAAAATACCATCCTAGTCTAAAAAGTTAATCACTTTAAAGGCCTGAAATGCATTAAAGAGAACAATAATTCTTTAAAAAAAAAAGAGAGAGAAAGAGAGTTTAGCTGGGCACAGTGGCACATACCTATCATCCCAGTGACTCAGAAAGTTGAGTATCACAAGTTTAAGGACAGCCTAAGCAACTTACCAAGGCCCTAAGCAACTTAGCAAGACCCTGTTTCAAAATAAAAAAATAAAATGGCTGGGAATGTATCTCACTGGTAAATTGTTCCTGGGTTAAATCCTCAGCAATAAAAAACAAAAACAAAAACCAACCCATTTAAAAAGTATTTTGAGGCATATCAGATTGTTTTTCATAGGATACACCAAGAGTTCCACAAGACAGGAACTGTTTGTCATCCAGGAAGCACTCAACAAGTGGTCTCACACTACTCAATAAAGGCTTCCAATTTAATAACAGTTAACATTAAGTACTGCATGTGCACCAGGCACAGATCTCATGCTTCACATAATTATCTTGGTTAATATTCACATCTGCCCTTTCATTATGAGCACATTTACATATGAGGAGCAGGAGGCACAGGGAGGATAAAGTTTACACAACTTTTCACATCTGCCTAAACCAGAAGCAGTAACATTCACATTCAAATAGTTCAGCCCAGGATTTGAACCCATGCCCTGACTCCAGTTCTGTACTCAGAACTGTCAACTTCCACCTGTCTTTTATATAAGAACTCCTAAAAATATTATTGGGATGCTGTTGCCTCTTAAAAGAAATATTGGTAATTTAGTTCAGGTCTACTCATGCCAAGCGAGCTAAAGCGATGGTAGAAAAATATTAGGAATTATAATTATCATACAGCATGCCTTTTTTAGTTCTTTAAATTCTAAAATTAAGTTTATGCTATCTCTCAAAACAAATTAGCTTTGAGTTCATTGTTAACAAGCTGGTAGATATAAAAGAATGATTGACAGCATCTTTCCAAAGAACTTTATAATAGAGTATTAAAGTAATTTTAATTCAATCAGGGAGGGAGATAATGATAATGGTTATTAAATAGACCATTGTTCTCATTCTAGTCCCAATAATGGGACTAAAAAATACCTTGCTCAGTCTCCCATTTTTAATCTTTGATCCTCCAGTGAAGTAAATCACTCACAAATTCTCCAGAGGTTACAGGGTTTTTTAGAATAGATTACGATGAAGTCCCAGCTGAACAGGATGCTACTCTGGAGACTCTAATTATATAACTAAAGAGTCCCAGCATGATAGAGAGAAAAAGATATTTTAACAAATGCCCTTTGCTATCTCTGTAACAATGTCGAGAGCTTAATGATTCATTCAGTATGTGACTGCAAACACAAAGTAGATTCAAATAGATAATTTTAGACACTAAGTACAATTTTGATAATTGAACTCAAAAGGCACTTTCAGATTTAATTTTCGTTAACATTTGTATCTAGGCAAGTCTTTCCTCTGTCGGCTGCCGCTGTCTATCTCTCCTTCCCAACTTCTCGTCTACTAGTCTATATTTTCTCCCTTCTGCATGTGATCTTTCCTCTGCCCCAAACATCATTCTCTACCAGTGTTTCTCAACCTCTTTTTCACCCTTGCTCCCCTAAGGAGACTCTTTAACTTTGAGTTCACTGTTCACAAGCTAGTGAGTATAAAAAAATGATTGACAGCATTTTTGCAATAAATTTCCTAATCATCTGCCCTTCACGAAAGTAAATGTTAAGGAATAAAATCTTGTCAGACAGGGTCGAGCTTTGGATGGCTACAAAACACTGTCACAACTAAAATTTATTCTCCCTGCAAAGCACCCATTTCCTTAAGGGCAATAATGCCTCTGCTGAGAAGGCAGGTTTCCTACTCAAGCCAATCCCTGTCCCCACTTTCCTGCCCCTGCAGTTGGCAAACTCCTACTTCCTCCTGCCACCTTCAGTCTCAAGTTAATCTTTGTTTCCTGCAAATCCTTCTCAAGATTCCCCAAGTCAGGAGCACATGCCCCTCCCATGTGTTCCCATTAAATGCAGTAATTTCCAGCATTTTTTTTTTTTTTACATATTCTAATTTTCTGCTTATTTCTATCTGCCCTTAGATTGTTAGAACAACTTGTTCACTGATGTGTGTCAGTATCAGTCAGGGTTCTCTAGAGAAATAGAACCAGTAAAATGTATGGGCTGACAAGTCTGAAATCTGCAGTGCAGGCCGCAGGTGGGGACTCGGGATGGTGAGGATGCAGCTCAAGTTGAGTCTGAAGGCAGAATTCTCTCTCCCAGAGAGCAGGTGGGGGTTGTCTTTTTTCTCCTAAGGCCTTGGACTGAATGAGGCGCCTCACATTATGGGTATTCTGCCTTCCCCCCACTTGAATGTTAATCTCTTCTAAAAAATAACTCTGTGACAACACCTAGACTGGTGTTTAAACAGATATCTGGGCTGTGACCTTAACCGGTCGACATTGATACCAATGCATCGGAGATCTGGAACTGGTCCTTGTTCCCAGGTGTTGAAGATTAAAATTCTGAGAAATGCGGATGCAAGCGTAGAAAGCAAGTTTTATTTTAAAAAGGGACAGAGACAGACTTCACTGAAGAGAAGGGCTGCCAGAGCTGGGTGTCTGTGGGAGGGAGTAGCCTGTCTCTCTTACACATCCTAGGAACCCACCTCCTTTTAATTATTGTCTTCTCTTTTTTTCCCATGTATGTGTCTGAAGATAGGAAGGAGCAGGAGCATAGAGGTTAACTGTTAGTAATCCATGGTTTTCTCTTTGATAATCAGTCATCAGCCTCTCTGGATCCTATACTGACTGCCTGACCTTTGTCCCTGCCTTAGTTTGCTGAGGAATGTGACCTACCCTTTCCACTTAGGCTGTGTGGGGCTGCAGGCGGATTGCTTTTTGGCTAAGAAAGCATGTGGTGGTCAGCATGTGGGATCATTTTATAGGATTATTCTCTTAACCTCATGTTCCCACCATCCTCATCTATACATCCCCTTATAATCTCATCACAGTGTCCAACAGGTGCTACTATACCTAGGTCATGTATTCAACATATATTTGATAAGTATGAAAAATATCACTCAAGTTAGTTGAATATATGGAATCATTCAAGTTAAGTCAGTTCTTTTGTCAGTCAGCTTAAGTTAATTTATGCTGCAGTAACAAATGACTCCAAAGTCTTGGTAGCTTAAAATCTCAAAGATTGCTTCCTTGTTCACACTAGATATCCACTGAAATTCAGCTGCTGCTATTCCTTTTCACTGTTGTTCTGAGACACGGCTAGTGAAATAGCCTCTATCTGGAATACAACCCATTTTGAGGACAAAACCTCTTAAAAGTTTCTGCTTGAGATATATATATAATGATGTGTGTGTGTGTATATATATATACACACACATCATTTCAACTCCTATTTTATTTTCCAAAGAGATTTCATGGCAAAGCTACAGAGAGGAAAAAGCAGCAAATAATTTTAAAAACCGAAGACAAGAATGAAGTCTGGGGGGCTGGGGATGTGGCTCAAGCGGTAGCGCGCTCGCCTAGCATGCGTGCGGCCTGAGTTCGATCCTCAGCAGCACCACATACCAACAAAGATGTTGTGTCCGCCAAGAACTAAGAAAAAATAAATAAATGTTAAAATTCTCTCTCTCTCTCTCTGTCCCCCTCTCTAAAAAAAAAAAAAAAAAAAAAAAAAAAAAGAATGAAGTCTGGAGGTCTAAGAGATAGGTGTCTATCACAGGTTGAACAGTTTCCTCTTCAATTTCTTTAATTCCCAGTACCTCAAAATGTGGCCTGGTCTAGAAACAGGCTCACTGAAGAGGCAGTTAGTTAAGATGAGGTCATGAGGTGGGTGCTCAGCCACTGTGGCTGGTATCTTTATGGTGGAAGCCTGGACTCGGGTACTCACCCTAAGAAACTTAGATGAGGCAAAGACAAACCAAGGAATACCAAAGACTGCTACGAAATGCCCAGAAGACAGGAGAGACGTCGAACAGATTCTTCCACGCAGCCCTTGGGAAGAACTAACTCTGCTTAACCTTTGATCTTTGGCTTTCAGCCTCCAAAACTGTAAAGGAATAAATTTCTGTTGTTTAAATCACTTAGTTTGTGGTCCTTGAAAACATCCGAGGGAAATTAATTCACTGGTGAAAGTCTACAAGACAACTTGCAAAGTTCAAAGACACCAAGATTCAGCAGTAGAGGGAAATGCTCACTGGCTGAGAACTATTTGCTAGAGTCGACCCAGTTTCAGGAAATTAAATTGAACCTGGAACCCAACGGATAAGTAGGTGTGAATCCTACAGACATAAGGGACATCTGTAAGCCTTGTATCATTTTTGGACCCAGAAAACCCTGTGAAGTAACTTTTGCTGTCAGAGAGATTACAGGCCTGGCATAGTTATAGACCACACTGCTATATTATTAACACAAGCTGCCAGTGCATCCTAGGACCTTAATATGACTTTTATTAACTTGAAGCTGAAAATGCAGTTTTAGAGATTCTCCACTAGGTGGCAAAATTGGCAAAGGTAAGGAAAAGCTTTAAATTGGTTTCTGTAAAGGTGCTTCTCAAATGCTGGACTGAAACTGGAGAAATCAAAAGTTATTAATATCTATATAATATGAGCTATAAATAAAATATTTATCCAAAGAGATCAAAGCCACAGCACCACTTCCCCCCTCAATAGCAACTAATAATGATAAGGAGGACAAGAAAAGGCCACAATCAAACAACAAGGTATTCAAAATGGATATGTATGAATATTTTCATGTTTTAACAACCATAGTGACACTTAGTATTCTTCATCCTTAGCATTTACATCACTTCCTAAATGTCTTTTTTGATTTAAAAAGCATATCGATTTTAAAAAGTAACTTTGGTATACTCTTTCCTACTTTGTGTTTCTTTTGTGCAGCATAACTGTGTTGGCTGCTCATGTTTCCATGAGATTCTGTGACTTCTCAGGTGAGCACTGTGACTACCTGAAGGCAGGGGAAAAAACAGTGCACATCCATTCCTTTGAAGCTCACACTACACTAATCAGATCTCTTTGCATGAGTCAGAAACTCAATCTGGAACAGCTTAAGAAAGAAATGGCTTTATTAGAAAGCTCATGTTACATGGGAAGAGCAGAGATGTGGTCAGACTCAAGAGATGAATGTGAAACCATGACCAGGAGCTTGAGCACTATGGGGCTTTGTTGCATGTCTGTTTTATACACTTTCTGTTTACTTTTCCTCATAATAGATGAAGCAGATGCAATTCCCACTTTACTATTCCAGAAGGACTGAGAGTTGAACAATTTTTTAAAAAGTTACCATTATTGCTTCACTTAAAAAAAATCTATCAAACAGGGTATAATGGTACATGCCTGTAGTCCCAGTGGCTCTGGAGGCTGAGGCAGGAGGATTGAAAGTTCAAAGCCAGCCTCAGCAAATAATTGAGGCCCTACGCAACTCAATAAGATCCTGTCTCAAAATAAAAAAAAATGAAAAGGGCTGGGATGTGGCTTAGTGGTGAACTCCACCCTCTGCCCCACACAGGTTCAATCCCTGGTAAAACAAAACAAAACAAACAAACAAACAAACAAACAAACAAACAAAAAACTTAGTAAGATATCATTTAATGGGCTCAAAGATATTTTTTCAGTTGAGTCCCAGAATGGGAGAAAATATTTACAATCACATAATCTTATATCTTACAAGAGACTTTCATACAGAATATACAAACAACTTTTATAACTTAGTGAGAAGACAGTCCAATCTAAAATGGGCAGAAAATTTGACATCCTCTTCACTGAAGATATAAAACTGGCCAAAAATCATATTAAAGGATGCTCTATATTGTTAGTCATCAGGGAAATGCAAATTAAAATCAGTGAGATGGCACAAGATACCCAGAAGAATGGCCATAGACACCAAGTGCTGGCCAGGGTGTAGGGCAGTTGGAACTCCTTATAGCCTGCTAAAAATAGAAAATACCACAACTACTTTAGGAAATGGTTTGGCAGTTATTTAAAAATTAAACATACATCTACCACACCCCAGCCATTCCATTATTAGATAATTATTGAAGAGAATGAAAACCTATGTCCATATAATGGATTGTACACAAATGTTCACAATAGTTCTATTCAGAAAAGCCAAAACCTGGAGGTACTCAAAGACTCATCAACAGGTGAACAGAAAAGCAAATGATGCTATATTCGTATAACACCCAACAATAAAAAGGAAGGAACTACTGATACAGTACATCAGAAGTGAATTTCAAAATCATGAAAATCATAAGCAAAAGTGTATATTACATACTTTATATTTGTATAAAAGACAAAAGAAGTACAAACTAATCTATGGTGAAAAAGAGCAAATCAGCAGTGTGAGAGATGAACTGCAAAGGAACATGGGAAAACTTTTAAGGTCAGTGGAAATGCTCCCTATGTTTATTGCAATAACAATTCCATGTTATATCCATCCATCCAAATTCTAAACAGATGTAGTTTATTGTACCTTGATAAAGCTGAGATAAAGAGTTGCCATGATGTTTCAAAATCATGCCCTCTTTCTTCCTCTGGACAAATGCTCCTCAAGCAAGCAGGCACTAGCAAAATCATCTCCCCAATTTAAATTGCTTTCCAAGGTATGACTACACATAAAACAACAAAACAAAATCCAAACAGACAAATTACTTTCTTTGGCCACTAGATGGCATAGTAAAATAGCAGAATGTTCCTGCAGTAGTCAAAAGAACTGAAATTAACAGAAGTTGGAATGCAATTCAGGGCAAGATGACTTTAAAGACATAAAAGGAAAAAGCCAATTATAAAGGACTTAAAGGTATGCGTATTTAACTGCAACTTTTAAGCAACACATATTTAGTTGCTTTCTTTTGTACATGATATATTGTAGGTATTCAACATTCCTTGAAGGAAAAAATGCATACTTTAGTGAAAAACCATGCACTGGCCATACTGAGATAGGTGGGCTTGAGGATAGAAAAGAAACCCTTAGTAGATGGAGACCCAGATTTCTCTGAGCATGACCAGCCATGCTTGTCTCTTTAGTCAAACATATAAAACCTCCAGAGTATTCTTGGACCAGGTCAACTATAACAAAACCATAATCCATTTAAATGTCATGAAATTCAAAGACCTACACAATGTGATCACATCTAATTTATGGCTAGACTGTTTAATTAGAAAGAAACATTCTGAAGCCCAAATATCAAATGATTGACAAGGGATTTGATTTTCACAAAAGCTTGCCTGGGAAAGTGCACTTCCCAGAAAACCCCATATATAGTGGGAGAGCTCAACCCTAGTTGGGTCACTGGTCTTCTCTGGGAGGCAGGAGCATCTCCACCTGCCTTAGGGGTATGTAGACCTTAGCTTTGCAGTCCTTTAGTACATCCTTGCTTTTGCTAAGCTTTTATACTTTCTGAAATTCCTCTCAGCAGAGTAAGTCAAGAACTCACCTGGATGTAGGTGAGGTCACTGTCCCCTTGAAGAGACCTTCTCAGACCATACCTAGTGACAATACTATATACCCTCATAGGGCTAATTCTAGCAGGACTGGAATTTACTTTTGAGTATTTTGCACTTTTTAAAATTGAAGGTGACTGATAGGCAAAATTCTGGTTTTGTTGTTTTGATTGACCTTTCTGTCAGCTCTGTGGAAAAACCTGTTCGCCTTTGTTTGAAATTCATTTCCTTTATCTCAAAATATCTGTGTGCTTTTGAGTTTTCCTTTGAACACATCCTAATGTCTGTCTGGTTTCCTCATAGGATTTAAGTAAAACAAATACCTTTAAAGAATGTCCACTTTTATATTTGCATGAATCATGATTTGACTTTTTCTGAAAATCATCTTTTAATAGTACAGAGAAACAGGCTAACCAGAAACAAGCCTTTCTTGGAACTTCCAAGCTGATAGCATGGGTAAATATATAAATGGAATACCAGGAAATGTGGGGTTAGGTAAGCCAAGAATAAATTAGATTGATTCCCTTTAAAAATTAGGTCCAAGGAAAGATCTTAAAAGAGTGTTTGAATATGGCCCTCACCCATACCCACAGGGCGGGCCCTTTGTCTGTCTAGACTCTGCAATCTCCCTGTCTTCAGACATAGCTAATTGCATTAGGGTTGGGCAGAGTCAAGTGAAACCAATCAGGACAATTCCTGGAAATGCGGATTTGAGAGAGAGGGAGAGGTTAAGTTTTGCTGGGCACTCTACCAGGAAGACAGGTAAACCTGGACCTGGGGCAAGTGTGTACAGTTCCTCACAGACACGTCATGCTCTGTGCCCTATAATTTATGCCTCCGTTCAAACGAAAATCCCCAAGGTTACTTAGTGCACAGAGCTCTGAAGCCAGATAGATCTTGGTTCCAATGAGACATCAAAACTGCTAGTGTGCAAAGTAGGCAGGATATATGTCTTCTCTGAAATCCAATTTCCTCCTCATTTGTTAAAAAAGAAAATGAATGCCCCATGTAAGTACCGTGGTGATTAAATGAGGCAAGTCTGTAAATGGAAAAGCAGCTGTTTGTATATAACATATACTAAAAGCTAGTGTCCACTAAGAGGTGAAGATCCTTGTAGACACAAATAAGATGATTAACTGTAAACAAAAGAGTACAAGCAATCTGCCTATGGGCTGAATCTACAACAGATACTGTTTCTATATCCAAAAAAAGAGAGTTGATTTCTTTAGGAAAGGATGGACTGCAGCAGAAAGAAAAGTGTCTCAGTTGCTACAAAAGAACTGTTACTTTTGTGCTTCTCTGATGGGCATTTAAAATTTTAAAGTCCCTTTAAAAAAAAATCCAAGCCTTTTTTTTTTTTTAAAGCAGTTTTAGGATCACAGCAAAATTGAGTGCAAAGTACAAAGTTCCCACACACCCTTTCAGCACTTCCCAGAAAATCCCATGTATAATTGGAGAGCTCACCAGCAACAACACACCCTCCATTGGAATGATCTTCAGGTAAGGCTTAGTCATTTAGATTGCAATTTTCAGCCCATTTAAGTTTTCTAATCTCTATTAGTAATTGGCTGACTATATTTCCTCAAAACATCCTCCAAATATGTATCAAACTAATTTTCTGAATCTCCCTTGCTTCCTTTCTTTCTTGTCTGTCTGTCATATACTGATTAATACATGTTTCTGGCCTTCTGGTATCAGAGGATAATATACATTTTATATTACCATTTCTTTCTTTCTTTCTTTCTTTTTTTAAAGATACAGGGTCCATGTTGCCCAAGCTGGCTTCAAACTCTTGGGCTCAAGCTTTTTCCCCTTGCCAGTTTCCTGAGTAGCTGGCATCATAGCCAGGTTCCAATACCTCCACCCCACCCCACCATCCAGCTCTATTTTCGAATTTCTAGGCCTTAATACCTATGTGCTAAAATAGGGGATTGAGAGTGGTTTTTCATTTAGGTTCCTCTTGTTTTCTGTTCTTGCTATATAGCAGTATTTTTCTCTTTTGTATTAAAAACAATATTTACTTAAAATTACAGAATAAGATGTTTTCATGTAAAGAGCAAATAAAACAAAAGTATAGTCCATTCCACATTCTATTTCCTCTTCATAGTAAATTTTTAATGATTAAGGATGGTGTGGATAAAAAGAAATTTCTAGTGAAGATGAGTTTACAGTAAACTGTCTGGCTGGTTCTGAAAACTCTTTATTTTGAGATGGGTGTCTTGTAAATTGCCCAGGGTGGCCTTGAACTTGCAATGCTGGGGCCTAGTTTCCTTAGCAGTAGGGATTTCAGATGTGGGACACCACACCCAGTTTTACTCTTGCTAACACTGACCATTTGCTGATGAATGGGAAGAATAGTTATTTCTCTCTTTATATATGTGATTATTTTAGATGCAAATCCTCTGAAAAAATGCAGGGACTTTTTTTGATGAGATCCTTAAGAAGGTACTACCATATTAGAAAAGGGTTATCAGTTACTTAAAAATTAAACATAAAGGCGCTGCATAACCCAACCATTCTATTGCTGGGTTTGGAAAGGGTTGAATTGTATCTCAAATAATCTGCAAGTTGGAATAATGCATTGTCAGTGATTCTTGCTGAGGATGGACATCAGAATCACCTGGAAAGATTTTATTTTCAAAAACCCTCCAAACTTACATATCTCAGGATGGATCCTGGGCATGTGTAGTCTAACAAAGTTCCATGAATTATAAGTGCACTGTCACACATGCACCCTTCTTAGTCCCTAGCTTCCTATGATCACCTTGGGTGGGCACACCCTCTTTCATGGTTTTAACCAGCTTTTATGTATGAGAGCACTGACCTGAATCAAGGTAGCTATGCTATCACTAAAGAGGAGGGGAGGAGCAAGATGCTTATGAGACAGTTCATAGTTTTACATGTAGCAGTTAATGATTTTTTTTATGAAAATTTATTTTAAATGTATATAAAAGTAGAGATAAAAATTAGGTGGAACATAGTATTTCTAATATTCTATTGTTATTATTATTATTTTTTTTTTACAAAATGTCAATTTGATACAACTTAATCTAATATAAAATACTCCTATACACATAACCTGGATTCAATAATTATCAAGACTTTGTCTCACTTGTGTATCTTTTCCCCTTTTCTCTTCTTTGATTTCTGAGTAATTTTAAAGAAAATCCTGGACCATAACTCATCCTAACCCTATATACTTGGCATGTATCTCTGAAAAATAATGACATTTAAAAAAAAATCACTGCAATGTAATTAACACCTAATTAACAATAACTTTTTGGCATCATTTCATAACCAGACCACATTTACAGTCCTCTGATTTTCTTTAAAAAGATTTTATAAAGAGGCAATTTAAAATTGTTACATAAAAATTGCAGGAAAAAAAATCTTAAAAAAAAAAATTCAGGAGACTAACTTTTTGGACTAACTTTCCCAAGAGAACAAGCTAAAAATCAGCATGGAGGCACATGTGGGTTGCTCTAAAGACCAAGCTGAAACTAAGCTGTTTAGCATCAGGATTAGTGATTAAAGCCAAATTCCCCAAACAAGCCAGTTTCCATTGGCATAATAATGAAGTTCCTCTACCTTAACTGTGCCCCCCACCCCCACACGCACACACTGGTAACCTGCATTGCTAGGAAAGTAACCTTGAAATGACCAATCTAATTTCTTCCTTTCTTGATCCTGCTTTCTTCAGCCCTTTTCTGTCTTTATGACTAACTTGTTCTCCTAGGCCCACTGGAAAACTTAATCCATGAAATGAAATGCTGCCCAATTCTAGAATCAAAATTAAAGCAATTCAGATCTTTAAACAAATTTTTTTTAAAAAAATATTCTCATTTGACAACACATGGGTATAAAGTGTCAAGTTCCTAAATGAGGTCCACACATTGTATTTGGTGGTTATGGTTCATAAATCACTTCTCATCCAGAGCAGTTCCTCTAAACACCCCCTCCTGCTTGTTCCTACTGACTTATAGAAGAAATTGGCTCAGCTATCAATCATGTGGTCTGACCCACATTCTGGATTGGTTTCATTTTCCATGATAACACTTCAAAAATTACCCAAGAAATTGTATCTTTTTTTGAGATTGCAGAATATGTACAATAGTTTGTCAGTCTGTGATAAGTGATACCTACAGCAGAAGTAGAGAATCCAAGGAGCTTTGAAGAATAAATGGTCTTTAGAAATTCTGTTCTACTGCCAAGGGAGCAGAGTCTCCTCTGGGCCAAAATCATGCTACAGGAGAAAAGAAAATTGAAAGAGGCAGTAAATACAGGATAGTTACATCAGTGTTAGACACCTTGCTAGCTAATAGACCACAAACTTATGGAAAATATAAATAGTCATTTAAAAAAAACTTTTAGATGTTAATGAACTTTTACTTTTTTATTATATGTGTAGCTGAGAATTGAACCCAGTGCCTCATACATGCTAGGCAAGCGCTCTACCACTGAGCCACAACCCCAACCCATAAATAGCCATTTCTAATAACTGAATTACCATGACTGTTTCCCTTTGAACTTTCTGTGATGTAACCTTTCATCACTAGAATCATTCTAAAACTTTATTCTTATGCAAATCTGTATTGCGAAAAAAATGAGCAAGTTATCATAGTTAAAATGGAGTTTGTGTCAACCTTAACAAAAAACCAAGTAAATAAAGCTGGGAGCTTATGAAGAAAAGGGTCTTATGCAGTACCACCTCATATTAACTATCAAAAAAGCTAGTGTGAAGCTGGGCTTGTGGCTCAATAGTAGAGTTCTTGCCTAACATGTGTGAGGCACTGCATTCGATTCTTAGCACTGCACATAAATAAATGAACAAAATAAAGAACCATCAGCATCTAAAAAAATATTTTAAAAAAATGCTGACGTGGTGACACACACCTGTAATCCCAGCTAGTTGGGAGGCTGAGGCAGAAGGATCAAATTCAAGGCCAGCTTGGGCAATTTAGCAAGACCCTTTCTACCCACCGCCCCCCCCAAAAAAAAAGAAAGAAAGAAAAAAGAAAAAAAGGCTAGGCTGAGGATGTAGCTCAGTGATAGAGCACATCCTTGGCTGAAATCCCCATATGGGGGATGGAAAAAAGATTCTACTCAGAGATTATTCTCTCAAGTATATTAGACTGCTGTGCCAGTGGATGGCATTCCTCTATTTCTCATAGTTAATCAAACCTTACACAAGGGATATAATCTGTGGACTCAAAGGGTCCACTGAAGCTAAGGGTACAGAAGCTTGAGCTGTGTAAAATAATACAATAGATGTTTCTTAGAAATGGAGGGTGTAGTTCAGTGGCACAGTATGTGCTTACCATGCATGAAGCTCTAGGTGCAATCCCTACCACCATCAAAAAAAAAAAAAAAAAAAAAGAATCTAAAATCCTGCTCTCATCAATAAAATCTCAACTTAAAAGATTGCTTCTAAAAAGGTCTTCTCTGCCCATGTAGCCTGTCATAGCCTCTCAGATATTTGTGTTACACAAGCATATTAATAATTCTCTGTAGAGCATTTATTGTTTGGCTGGTTACTCATTTACTCATTGACCAATTTAGAACGTAAACTAAATCCATCAGGAAGGACCCGGTGTGTTAAATTCACCACTGTGGAGAGGACATGGTGGCTCATACCTCTAATCTAGCAGGGGGGAAGGCTGAGGCAAGAGGATTGCAAGTTCAAAGCCAGCCTGAGCAATTTAGCGAGACCCAGTCTTTAAGTAACACTGGCTGGGGATGTGGCTCAGTGGCTAAGTGCCCTTGGGTTCAATCCCAGGTACAAAAAGAAAAAAAAAAAAATCACTACTTTATTATGTATCACACTCTGCATTCAACTAAATAATTGTTGGTTGATTAAATTAACCTGTGAAATCACATTGAAAATCAATGATTTAATGTAGCTATTTATGAGAAAATTCTTTTTGAAATATTACCTTTTTGTAAACAGTTGCCCATTACATTTTATGTCTTTCAAGACTAAGGCAAGGTTTCATGAATCTAGACATGATTATTCTTGTGACACTAGCTGTTTGGAAAAAAGTTAAAAATATTTTGTGTGTGTATGTGTGTGTGTGTGTGGTATATGCTAGACAAGTGCTGTACCACTGAGCTACATCCCCAGCCCTTTTAAAATTGTATTTTGAGCTAGGCACCATGGTGCCAAGCCATTTCGGATGCTGAGACAGGAGAATTGCAAGTTCAAAGTTAGCCTCAGCAATTTAGTGAGACTCTGTCTTAAATAATAAAAAGGGCTGGGAATGTGGCTCAGTAGAAAAGTGCTCCTGGCTTCAATCTCTGGTACCACAGAAAAAGAAACTAATTTTGAGACAGGTTCTTGCTAAATTGTCAAGAGTGGTCTTGAATTTACATCCTCTTACCTCAGCCTCCAGAGAATCTGGGATTACAGGCATGGAAAAAGATATTAATTAGACTAGACTGTACAGGAAAGATATTACCAAAAAACAGGAACTATGTTGAACAATCATCAGTATAAGATTAATTTTAGGACAATAATTTTTTTCAGCAAATAAATGCCCATTTGAGTTCAGCCTGATGTCTTTGGTATTTAAACAAAGTATAAACAAAATATTTTCTTGCAAGTAGAAAAATGAGAGAAAAATGTTTTAACTTCTTGAGATAAACAAAGGGGGAGAAAAGGACTGAGATTATTGGGACAACTTCTATTCAAAAAAGGTTTCTGTCTTGGGCTGGGGATGTGGCTCAAGCGGTAACATGCTCGCCTGGCATGAGCAGAGCGCTGGGTTAGATCCTCAACACCACATAAAGATGTTGGGTCCATCAAAAACTAAAAAATAAATATTAAAAAATTCTCTCTCTCTCTAAAAAGAAAAAAAAAAGTTTCTGTCCCTGCACAAGTCGCTGACTTGCTGAACCTGATGTCTGTTTTTCATATTCTTTTCCCCTCTTCAAATTAGCTAAATAAATCAATCTTCTACCTCACTGATGTTATTTATCTATTTTTCCCCCCAAACAGATCAATCAATGAATCCCTGGCTCAAAGGTAATCTCAGAAGATTCTGTTAAGTCACACTGGTTGGTCACCTGTGGGTTCAGGCTGCTGCTCAGAAGATGAGATTTCCCCTCAGGTAGGGTGCACCATGCCCTTGAACCTCCAGGTCTCAGTAACCATCTTAGGAAGTTGCCACTCCATCTATCTGTTTTAATCTAGAAATTTCAAAGCCAAAACCCTGCATCCCTCTCCCTTACTCTTCTACAGCACATCACCTCCATAATCGGATGTACCCCTTGGTTAACTGACCTGTCATTTTCTTTCACTTTCCAAACCTTTCACTATATATTTGGAACAGCTGAACCATGATCAGCATATTCAATTGTATTTTTGTTCTTAGAGTAGTCCACCTCTTTGCTTTAACTTGAATTTTATTGTTTCCCCAAAACACCAAGTCTATGTTCTCAGCATTGCCTTTTTATAGGCTCTATATACTTTTTTTTTTCTCATTCTCTCACTATTAATTCTAATGCCTTCAGAGATGACCCATTAAACAAGAACTTACTAGTTCTTTATAACAAGAATACCTAAAGTCTACTCTTAGCAATTTTCAATTTTATAAAATATTCATATTAACCGTAGTCAACTACCTCTTTCCTGCTGTTTGGCCATTGATACTATTCTCTGGATGGCTTCACTAATGTTATCTCCTGACCTGCAGATAACTTCCTATCATTCATTAAGGAGATGTCTTTAGGCAACCGTTTTCTTCTCAACCCCAAGAACTGTGATTATTCTAGGTAATTCTAATGCCTTCAGAGATGACCCATTAAACAACTGACACTCCCCTTCTCTGTTGCTCTTGTCCTCTGTTCCACTTTGGTCACTCGTTCCTACAGCCATACTCTGTACCTTGCCACCCCAATACATTTAATTTTAAAATAATTAATTGAAGCATTTTTCTCCTCAACCATTGTTTTAGTCAGCCTTTTTGCTGCTGTGACTAGGACAATTTTAGGGGAAGAAAAGTTTATTTTGTGGCTCAAAATTTCAGAGATCTCAGTCCAAAGCAGCTGGCTGCATTCCTCCGGGTTCTAGGTTAGGCTGAACATCATGGCAGAAGAGTATGGGTAGAAGGAAGCAGCTCACATGACGATCAGATATCAGAGAGAGAGAGAGAGAGACTCTACTCACCAGATACAAAATAAATACCCCAAAGCCATGCCCCCCAATGCTCACCTCCTCCAGCCACACTCTACCTGCCTTCAGCTACCACTCAGTTAATCCCTATGAGGGGATTAATTCACTGACTGGGTTAAGGCTCTCATAACCCAATCATTTGTTCTCTACACCTTCTTGCATTGTTTCACGTGAGCTTTTGGGGGACACCTCACATCTAAAACACAACAACCATAAACTCCTCATCCTTCAACTTGCCTAATTATTCCAACTTTCAGTATTCTTCACTATCACCAACATCTTCAGGAAGTTTCCTCTCCTTTTTTCCAATCAGTCTCACCTTCCTTTATTTCCAAGTTTACATGACAATTTCTCCACATTAACAAGGCTCTTGATAATGCTCTAAGTCCTTTTGGTTTTCGTTCATGTTTGTAAAAAACCTAGCTCTGGTTGAACTCAACCAGTGTCTGTTTTCCCATAATCCATTCAGCTGTGGACTGCTGAAGAAAACCTCATGGATAGATTTTCTGGTTACACCACAAATTCATATGGTCATCAGTCTCAAATTGGCCCTCGACACTTTCCAGCATTTCTACTATATTTTATAGGCTATACTTTTATACTAAAAAAGGATATGGATATATATATATATATACATATATATGTGATATATATAATATGTATATATACATACACACATATGTGCATGTGTACATATATATATATATATATACATATAATATATTAGCTTATTTTGCTATCTATCTAGTCTCCAATAAGCAAAATAAACAAATTTGAATGTCATCAAAAGTCGGAAAAAAATCAAAAGGAATCTGATGTCTAATTCTTAGTAATATTTTCAGTTCATTTTTCTAGTTTCTCCCAAAAAACAATATTCTATGAAGAAAACAAGGCAAATGTGAATCAGAGTGATCGAGTCAATCTTTTTAAAAAAATTTATTTTATTTATTTATTGTTTTAATCTAGTCAACCTTATCATGATGTATTGTACATAAGGTAAACTGCACCTTCGAATACACATGGTCAATAGAAAAGTCAAACAGTCAATTTATTATCACTGGAATAGACTGTTTAAAGGCAGAAGGTATAGATTTAGAGGTGATCCAAAGCTGAGAAAGGCTCAAAGATAGGCAAACAGTCAAAATAAATTTGAAAAAAGTTGTTAATGCTCTGGATTTAAATTCAAATTATGACATTATAACTGCATATGGGGTAGGAAGGAAGAAACTTAGTTAATTTGACCAAGTCCAGAATGCTCAGGCTAACTACAACTTCAAGGAATAGTAACAAGAGGCAACCGCAGAAAGGACTAGTGTTAAAGCACAGTACAGAATGTTAACAAAAGTCTGGCCAAGAGAGATTGTTTTTACTTCATGCTCTACCTGTTAGTCTGCTTCTAAAATGCTTATAAGGCTTACTGATTGCGACAGAGGGTGACCAAGGTGCTGCAGAGGGTGAACAAGGTGCTGGCTGCGAAAATACAGTGGAAAGAAGTCTCAAAGCCATGTCATTACAGCAAGAGTGGAACTTTAATTTAAAGCTAATTGGCCCAGATTTAAGGGGCATCATACAGAAGTTGCTGAAATGCTGTTATATGAAGTGGGATTCGTATAATTATGAAGTTCTCCAAAGGTAAAAAGCATAGCTGACTGGTGAAAGTTAGCAAGCATCAGGTTTTAGACATTAGGTAAAATTCCCTAAACAGTGAGCAAGATGTCCCAATTCTCTCTTAGACAGCGCCTAGGAGATCGCGGGTGGGAGGCAGGTGTTTTGCAATAGTCAGAGGTTCAGAAGTCTAGAATGGTTCGGACCCCAGAAGCAACAAGATTGGTCGTCTGCTTTTCTCCTTTCAAAACTTCGGATTTCACTAAGATTCACTTATGTAGCAAGTTAACAGCCTTTGTTTCCCTTTTCAAAATTTTAGAATTCGGTTAAGAATGAGTTGGAGTCAGTGTTGTACTTCCAGATTGCTTTTCCAAATGCCCGAATGGCAAAATCAAGGGTAAAAGGTTCAAGACGTTGGCTGGGTCCAGGGTACCCCCACTGCGAGGTCACTCATCTTGGCATTATTCCTTCTCTAGAGAAAAGGGTTAATCCCAGGGCGGACCCTCTGAGGCCGCTCTGGCAGTCAGTCAAATCCGGGTCCAGGGTCCAGTCGCCCGCTGGTGCCTCGGTTCTGCAGGGCGAGTTCGAGTCAGATGGACATCCAGCTCCCACCCTGCCCTCTGCAAGCCGGTACCGCCACGCCACCGCGCACCGCGTGGCCGCATCCAGCACCCTTACCTAGCTTCCCGGGGCTCCAATCCCGCAACGGAGTGAGGAATATTGGAAACGATTTGAACGTCCGGGCGGAGGCAGGAGGGATAAACTCGGGTCCCGGATTGGCTGCAAGGTTGGCGGATCCCGGACTAGAGTCGCCAGATCGCTCAAGATGGGGGGTGGAGGTTGCGGAGCTACCGGGAGAGCGGGGGCGGGCCGGAGGCGGGCCTGGATGTGGCCCGGGATTGGCTCCGGGGTCTGGACCGAAGGTACAGATTGGCTGCGAGATCCGCCCGGCTCCGGAATGGGGCCACAAGGCAAGGCACCGGAGTTAGGGGGCGGGGTGGGGGCGTGGACTGGGGTACGCGTGAAGATTGGATAAGGAATGCCAAAGGCCGGGTGCTCGGATTGGATACGTGTGACTGATGAGGGAGGGCTGCAGACCAGGACGGATTGCGCAGGGCTGAAGACAAAGGCTGGTTTAGAAGGAGGGTTGGCTCCTGCCCCCACAACTTGGTCACAGAGTGGATTTAGGTTTGGAAAGTAGCGAGAAAAAAACGAGCCTGAAGAATGTGAGAAAAAGGGTTGGAGATGTAGAGGTGTTTGTCATCTGCGATGGGATGAGGGACTAGGAACTTTACCTTTTTGAACAATAAAATGAGTTTCATCAAAGAACTGAGAATAAAGGAGGCAGATATACGACTCTTGAAAAAATTAAGAACGAAAATGGACTAGGAAAAAAGGAAAGGACGTCATAGGTCACTTCTTTGGGGTGGGCAATGCTAGCGAAAGGTGAGTTTCTGTCAAGTTTCAAGTTGCATGTTTAGATTTTCTTTCATGTATATGCATATATTTAATTTTCTCTCAGTACCGGGGATTGAAGATCGAGGTGCTCTACCACTGAGCAACATCCCCAGACTTTTATATTTTTCATTTTGAAACAAGGTCTCACGAAGTTGCCTGGGCTGACCTGGAATTTGCCATCCTTCTGCTTCAGCCGCCAAAGTCCCTGGGATTCCAGGCATGTGCCCCAAAGCCCTGGCTATCTTTCTCTTTAATTGTAAGAAGTCTAGATGATAGAGGGGGTAGCATCAGCATTGTTATTTAGGCCTAGAGGAAAGAGCGACAATAATCTTTGTTGGAAGGAATGTCCTGTAGATGGCACAATGATTTTTTTTTTCTGTGTTGAGGTAAGATTATAAAAATGATCTTGCTTGTTGTCACTTTATCCTGATCACAGAATGACTTTATCCGATGTTGGTATTCTGTTGAGATCCCTCTGTTTCACCAGAAACACCGTGGCAAGTGCCCAACAGCATTAGGTTGTTCAGTTCCCTTGAGAACAAAATAAAAGATTTTAGCAAGCCTCATTATCTGGAAATGCTTCTCAGGGGGTATCTGTGACTTCTGGCTCAAAGAATGAGGCAGGCAAACCTACCTTTTCCTTTACCTCATAACCCTAGAATAGGGCTAAGAGAGACCCATTCTAGAAAGACAGTTAAAACAGGCTGTCTGTTAAACTGTCTAAAGACAGTTAAAACTGCTTTTAGCAATTTTTTTGGCACATGCCTGGAATCCCAGGGACTTTGGCGGCTGAAGCAGAAGGATGGCAAGTTCCAGATCAGCCTAGGCAAACTAAAGCAGTTTCCACCTTTCATCCCTGGTATGGTTTAAATATTAGGTGTCCACCAAAAGTTCACCGGTGAGACAATGCAAGAAGGTTTAGAGGTAAAATGTTTGGGTTGTGAGCCCTTTAACCCAATTGGTGAATTGATTTGGATAAGGATTAACTGGGCAGTAGCAATAGGCAATCAGGGAATGGCAGGAGGAGGTAGGTCATTGGTGACTTGCCTTTGAGAGATGTGTTTTTGTGAAGTCTCTACTTCCTGGTGCCATGTCCCCAACTGTTTTCCTCCACCACACACTTGGGCCATGGTGTTCTGCCTCATCTCAGGCCATCTATAAACTGAGACTTCTGAAACCAGGAGACCCACAATAAACTTTTATTCCTCTAATTGTTCCTCTCAGATCTTTTTTGGCCCAGTGGCTAAAAAGCTAAGTAAAACTTTCCTTAAGGAATTATGTTTAAATTTATATTGTTTTAATTTTAGTTTAAGTTGTTATCTAAATGTTATAGACCACCAAAAAATTATATTTGATTTTCACCTTATGTAAGTAATTTAAGTGAAAGTATTTGTGTGTGTATTAGAATATTAAATTAATGCTTTTGTATAGCCAGGAAATAATAGCTATATAAACATTAGTTTAAATGTTTCAAAACCTCAGTAGATTTCCCCATAGTAATTCTGGTCAGGGGGGGCTGGGGTTGTGGCTCAACGATAGAGCACTCATCTAGTACGTGCGAGGCCCTGGGTTTGATTCTCAACACTACATAAAAATAAAATAACAAAATAAAGGTATTGTGTCCAACTACAACTAAAAAATAAATATTAAAAAAAAAAGAAATTCTGGTCAGGGTAAGTAAGGTCTATTTAGTATTTGTTTGTTTATCCACATATATGTTAGGGTAGATTTATAGCAACTTAATGATTAGCATTTGTTATTTGAACCAATCAGTTAGTTTGTCTTTGTAGTCTTAGAAAAATTTTTTAAAAGGGAAAGATAGTTTGGTAAGAAAATGACATTCAAAAAAATATGGGCCCTATTTGTAAACTATAATTGTAAAAAATGTCCTTGGCAAAAACTCTAGGTGTAGAGCTTCTGGCTAATAGTGTCAGAAAATGTCAACACATAGGTGAGCGTTGTGGGGTTAGAAACCTGGTACAATTGTTCTTCTAAGGAAAGTACCAGGTTTCTTTCTCAGTATGACTGCTTCTGGATTTCCTGGTCCACATTCATAATGGAGTTCTTAGCTCCCTGAGGTCTCTCTCACAGGCTTCTGTAGGTTTGCAAACTACAGAAACTCCTGGAGAGTTTCTATGGGGTCTTCTCTTTTGTTCCCTCAGTTTGTCATAGTGAGCAGTGACCTTTCGGCATTACTGATGGAACAAAATATTGCTACATGCTTCATGCCAGGTAGATCCCTAAAGCAGTGTCAGGAGTATAAAAGTCAACACCAGCTTCTTTAGGTCCTTAAAGAGGGGATAATGATGAAAGTTTTCTGGGGAGTGGAGAGAGAGGAAAAGACAATATAAGTTATTTTCAACTTCCTGAAATACTCAATATGATGTTTTATAATCAAATGGCAAACTTTCAGGAATAAGCATTAGGAATGGATTTGGGATTATATAACCATGTATATAAGATGTTCATAAGTTAAAAAGCATTTATTTGTATGAAGTGTTTACTATGTGCCTGGTGCCTTTTTAGACTATGTTGATGCTGTGATTAAAACAAAACAAAACACCCTCCCTGCCTACTGGGACTTGTAGTCTGCTGAGGGAGATCTGGAGTAAGTTTGAACAAACTCATGGGTAATATAAGGGAGTGGTAGATTTTGCAAAGAAAGATTAAAAAAAAAAAAAAGGCTAGCCAGTAGATGGAACTCATTGCTTTCTTAATTTCTTTCATGTACTTGCTGTACTCAACCAGGCAGGGATGTTTTATATTATTAAAGTTGTGTTTGGATGGAGTTGGTAGGTTCTCTCTCATATTCTCTCTCTCCCCTCCCGATTTTTATTCCTTTTCTTCTGATAAACAGAAATATGGTTGAGACACATTAAGGAGTTGTAATGATGTAGTGTGATGTAGCCCTTCCTAGATCAGAGCTATCCTCTTACCCCAATTTCTTGGGTATTTAATGTTCTGTATTTATTTGTTTAAAATCTGTACTCACCACTAGACTGTTAGCTCCTTAAGAGGGGAACCACAACTCTGTTTCACAGTCCTTGACAGAGTACCATGTAAATATTCAACCAAGTCCCTTGAATGAATGGATCCCTAAGCCTAAGCAATTACTGGTTTTGTGTTTGTTTGGGGTATTTTTGTGTGAATTTTTAAAATCCTATTAAACTTCCTAGGGGAACAATTTTGGAATTAATATAGGAAAAAGATTTCTATAATTAAAAACAGGAGAGTTTGCCTGTCTATAAGGAAAATAAAAGGAGACACGGAGACAATATGCAGAGACAGGAAAAGAATGCCCCCCCCCAAGCAACCATGTTTATTTATATCAAAAAGTTACATTAGGCCATTAGCGCCATGACTGCATTATTATTTAGTATTTCTTTAAACCCAGGTGTTGAATATCTGAGATCAAATCCTAGGCTGATAAGACACAGAGCTTCTTCTCCAAGGACAGACGGTACCATGGCAACTAGATACTGCGCCTATATTAGTTATCTTACCAGCTTCAAGGAGAAACTACCAAGCATTCCAAGTGTAGGAAACAGAGTGCCAGTTACCACGCCTCCCTCACTCCCTCACCCCAAGGGAGTTTGCTCACCAGAGGAACGCTTCCTTGTACATTTCCACGGTCAGAATACCTACACCTGTCTTCTGTGCCTTCCTTTCTATGAAAGATGTCCCAGGGGCTGGAGAAAGTGGGATACGTGTGGGCTTGACAGGCACCTTGTTTTACATTCTTCATTCTGGGATGTATTTTTTCCTCTTTCTATTTGTAAAAAAGCCAGACACACATCCAGCTTATTTAATATTTAATTGCCCACTGGAACTTAAGCAATGCGAGACACATGCCTTTATCAGGGCTAACTCTAGAAAGAGGGTCTTGAGCTGGATTCTTCACAGGACCTCCTAGTGTTCCTGGATCTGAGGGGCAAACATTCAGTCGCTCATCAAATATGATATTAGCTGTAGGGTTTTTTTTTGTAGATGCCTTTTTTTTCAGCTTAAAGAAGTTTACTTTGACTACTACATACTGAATTTCTTATTATAAATGGCGTCATATTTTCTCAGGCTTTCATGTGGTTATTTATCGCCATCTATCCTAGCTGGTGATCTAACGCTGGGTTCACAAAATCTGACTATTCCAATAACTTAAGAAAATAACAAAGAAAGCATGCAAACACACAGACATACCTTTTCAAAATCCATGTTGGCTCTCCGACCTTAAGGGTCTGTGGAAAAAGAGCTGGCCACTGGAATTATTTATTCTTCTATAGGGGACACATGAGGGGAGCTCCATGGAACATTCTATCCCAAAAAGGGCAAAGAGGAGTAAAAAGAACAGGTGAATGTAACTCAACCCCAGCGGGTAACACCTATTCCTGGAGCCATGCCTTGTTATTCAAGATGGGGTGACACCGAAGTTGCTGGAATCTGGCACTACCATGCCAGACTGAAGGCAATAATTGTTCAGAACCCGGTGCATCAGGACTTAATGGCATCTGCAGCTCCCAACAGTTATTTATATAACTATGTGGTTTTTAAATACTTTTTCTTCTTCTTAGGCTTTTATAGTATGATGAATTATATTAATTTTTGAACCAGCCTTGCATTTGGGATAAATGCCACTTTAAAAGAAAAATTAGAGCATTATAATTATATAAAGTAGTTTGGATTCATTTTGACAAAATCATATATGCATGGAATTATGTACTTTATTTCAATTCCCATTCCCCTCACCTTTCCTTCCTCCTTCATCCCCCATTCTCCTTTCTGTACTCCACTAATCTTCCTCTTACTGATTTATTTATTTGTTTTTGATTGGTGCTCTCTGCATATACATAAAGGTGGAATTCACTGTGGTGTATTTATAGATGCATTAGTATGGTTTTGTTGAATTCATTCAGCAAGATATTGAGTGATATTCAGCAAGATGTCAGCAAGATCCCATTCAACTGAGCTATATTGTTTTTGTATGCTGCTGGGTTTGATTTGCCAACATTTTGGGGGGGGCTGGAGGGGTTAACCAGGGATTAAACCCAGGGATGCTTAACCACTGAGTCACATCTCCAGCCCTTTTTTATATTTCATTTGGAGACAGGATCTCGCTGAATTGCTTAGGGCCTTGCTAAATTGCTGAGGCTGGCCTTGAACTTAAGATCCTCCTGCCTCAACCTCCCCAGCAGCTGGGATTACAGGCATGTACCACCATGCCCAGCGTGATTTGCCAACAATTTTGTTGAGGAGTTTTGCATCTATAATCCTGAGGGATTTTGGTCTGTAGATTTTTTATTTGTCTGATTTTGATACTAGGATAATGCTGTCCTCACAGAAGAAGTGGGGAATCCCTCCTCTTGTATTTTCTGAAAGAAAGTTGTATAGAAATTATTTCTTTAAATGTTTAGTAAATCTTGCCAGTAAGAGAAGCCATCAGGATCTGGGAAATTATTTTTCAGATTTTTTAAAACTATGAATCCAATTTCTTGAGAAGTTATAGGGTAATTCATGTTATCTGCTTTATCTTGAGTTGGTCTTAGTACTAGATGATTTTGAAGAATTGTTTCATTTATTTGAATTGTCAAAATGCTGCACATAGAGTTGTTAGAATGTCAATTTTTTAATCTGCTTATTTGATACATCCAAGATTAAAAGGATTTTTTTTTTTTCCTTTTGGTATTGGGGATTGAACCCAGGAGTGCTTTATTTTGAGATGGGTCTTACTAAATGCTGAGGCTGGCCTTGAACTTGGATCCTCTTGCCTTAGTGTTTTAGTCAGCTTTTTCACTGCTGGGAGTGAAAAGACCAGACCAGCACAATTGTAGAGGAGGAAAATTTTTTTGAGGGCTCACAGTTTCAGAGGTGTCAGTGCATAGAAGTCCAGTACCATTCTTTGGGGGCTCCAACTGAGGCTGAACATCACAGGGAAGAGTGTGGTGGAAAGAAGCAGCTCACATGACAATCAGAAAGCAGAGAGAGAGGTCTCCACTTGCCAGATACAAATAGATAACCAAAGCCATGCTGCCAATTCCCACCTCCTCCAGCCACACCCTACCACTTCAGTTACCACTTAGTTAATCAATATCAGGAGATTAATTCACTGATTGGGTTAAAGCTCTCACAACCCAATCATTTCTCCTCTGAACCTTCTTGCATAGTCTCACAGATAAGCTTTTGGGGAACACCTTACATCAATACCATAACACTTACTCTTCCAAATTGCTAGGATTACAGGCATGCAACACATTCAGTAGGGTTTCTTAAATCATTATGTGTGTTTTTATTTTTTGGTAGATATACTTCCTTTAGCTTAGTTGATTCTCAAGCCTGGACAGTTGTGAGACAGGTTCCAATGAGGGATTTTCTGTGCCTTTGTCAAGATCTCAGAATTTGAAATGTTTCCTCCCCATCGATCCTCTTAGATCAGGGTAGTTCATATTTTCTTTCACTAATATACAGAAAGAAAAGTAGCAACCTATTACTTAAATGAGAAAAGATATACTTTTCTTAACTTTAAATATTTTGACACAGGAACACCATAGGATCAGGAAATGGAGGTCTCAGTCTGGGGCAGTGCTCACAGACTTCAAGTGTATATAACCTGGCATTGTCCTTCTCTTGGGATTACTGATGACTCTCTCAGAGTGCTACCTGTGTAGGAAAGTTAGGGAAGGAGCCGGGCACAGTGTCCCATGCCTTTAATCCCAGCTAAATAGGAGGATTTCAAATTCGAGGCCAGCCCTAGCAATTTGGTGAGACCCTGTCACAAAATAAAAAAATAAAAACGCTGGGCATGTAGCTCAGGAGTAAAGTGCCCCTGGGTTCAAACCCCAGTACTGGAAGAAAAAAAAAAAAAAAAAAAGGTTGGAGGGGAAGGTTAAGAAACCAGGGGATCTAGGGAATCTTAGTAAGTTGACTTTAATGCATGGCAGCACACTGGTGACAACAACATGTTTCCTAAGGAGAGGCATACATACATTTTATGCCTTGTGATACTATGGAAAAAGCATGACATCAAGAATCAGATGACTCAGAATTGATCTTGACTTTGATGCTATCAAGTTAAGTAGGAAGTGACTTAGTCTTGCCAACTTTCAACTTTTCTACCTTCCATGGTTAATAAAGCAATCATTACTAGGTTTTGAAGACAGAATTACTCTTTTTTGCCAGGAAATTTTTTCAACTAAAAAAAATTTATTTATTCCTTTATATCAATGCATCTTGGGAAAGAAAACATAAATAATATCTACATTCTGCCTATTATGCTATAAATATTACCTGGATGCCCATGAAGTGAAGAAATCCTGTCATTCCATGCTCAACTGTGAAAGAAAGAATTTGCCAACTAATGGAGGGCGGGACTCAAGGCAGGGAAAGATCTCAAAGAAATTAGAAAAAGCAGCCTTTTTAATGTGGATTTAATGGTATTAGCCGCTTCCCTGCTTTTTTCTAAACATGTAATATCTTGAAATACCACATAATTTTGTCTAGATATTAACATATACAACTTAATCTATATGATTCTTAGAAATCTAAATAACATAAGGTAAGTAAGTAGAAAGTTTGCCAATGTTTCTGTAAAATAGAGGTCTGAAACTATGGCTTGTGGGTGCCACCTGTTTTGAAAAGAAGTTTATTGGAGTACAGCTGCTCATACATTTATTTAGTATCTATTGCCACATTTGCAAGAATGGCAGAGTTGAGAAGCTGAAACAGATGTGTGACTTGCAAAACCATAAATAGTTACTATTTTTTTTATTCAGAAAGTTACCCAGCCATTGTTAGTAAGGCTAAAACCTTACTGTTGGTGAAAAACTGAGAAAAAATAATAAAAAGACTAGTAAAACACATCTTATTTCCAGTTCAAAAATAATTCTTGGGCTGGGGATGTGGCTCAAGTGGTAACGTGCTCACCTGGTATGCACGGGGCGGGATGCTGGGTTTGATCCTCAGCACCACATAAAATAAAGATGTTGTGTCCATCGAAAACTGAAAAATAAATATTAAAAACAAATTCTCTCTCTCTTTAAAAACAATAATATAATAATTCTTGATCCTTATAAGAAACTTCTGTAACTACTGAAATGTAGTTACATTTAAGATTGGAGAAAAGTCTACATATACTAAGTAAGAAGAGCAATGTTTTATTGATTAAAAAGATTAAAAATCATTCCATTTTTCTCTTTGGGAAAATCAGTGGAATTTCAAAGATGACTTGAATTAAGAAAAGATTAGCTTAAGCTTTAGGATTATAAACAAATCATTAGTTTAGTTCTGTTTTCTAACACATTATTTTTCATTATTTAAAACCCACCTTTGCAAATTCTACATTGCTCTAAGTACACAGTACATCATTGTTATGTTATAATGTTGCTGATAATGTAATACATTGTCAACTGTCTAAAGTTCTAAAGTGTTATAATCTGCATGAACTGGGGACAGAAAGGAAAGTTTTCTTGTTTATTGCATTTGTTTATAATTCATCTCCTTCTCATAATAATGGTTTCTTCCACTTTCTTGTACAGATGATATAGAGATTCTGGATTTCTATATAAGGTGGCTTGTTTTAACTTGGAATCCATCAGTGAGGATCATCTATTGTCAAGTGCCCAGAAATCTCATTATTGATCATAATTTGGTCATCCTTGGTATAATATTTATTGTCTTCAGTAAGAAATTAGGATGATTGTGCCTGCCATGGGCTCCATTATACACTTGAATAACTTGATGCTCAGCTATGTGCCAAGATTTTTTTTACTTAAGGCTCTTCTCAGTGTCCATTTGTCTAATGGTGGGCAACTTGAACAACTGAACAAACTTTTCTTGAGTAATGTCAGTGACATTTTCTGTATTGATACAGAAGTAAAATGCATCCTTATTACATAATTCATAATCTTTTTTTATTTATATATGACAGTGGAATGCATTACAATTCTTATTACCCATATAGAGCACCATTTTTCATATCTCTGGTTGTATACAAAGTATATTCACACCAATTCGTGTCTTCATACATGCACTTTGGATAATAATGATCATCACATTCCACCATCATTTCTAACCCCATGCCCCCTCCCTTCCCTTCAACCCCTCTGCCCTAGAGTTCATATAATTTATAATCTTTTAAGGAAGAAGAACAATGATTTTAATTATCATTGTTTGTCTTCACAAAATTTTAAAACTATGACATAATACATTATTATCCAAAGAAGTGACACTTGGTCCAGAATCTAAAATTGCTTCAGCTATTCCTTGCATAAAGGTGACAACAGAAGCCTGTAAATCTTTAGGTCTTTAGCTTATGACACATCTTCTTTTTGGTCTTTCCATCTTCCTCTGAAGATTCTGTATCTCATTATGAAGTCGTTTGCTCTCTTCTTGGAATCCCTCCTTTAGTAACCGGGGTTGTTCCTAAAAAAAATTTAAAAAAAAAAAAAAAAGGAAACTGAATAAATTGTAGCACTAAGTAAGTCCCTGTATTCTATCTAGTTTGCACATTCATTGATTTTTACAATTTTTTTTTTTTAGTATTTAATTTCCTAGTGACATTTTCTCTACCCTTAATTTTTGTGGGTACTTTTTCCTTGGCATCTGAGCTCTGCAATTGCTTCTCCTGGGTGTTCTTTTAGCTAACAAATATTTTCAGCCATACCTCCTGATGTGGCAATGAAATCAAGTTACCAGTCTTGATTTCTCCCTATTAATTATATAAAACCTTTGTGGAAAATCTTAGTTATGCTTGGTTTCAATTATTTTCCATGTATTTTAGACTCATGCATCTACCTACCCACTTATTATTATGTGTCTATACATAACACAGAAATAAAGTATTCTCAGAATCTGATAAAGTATCTGAATCTTAGATTAGGAGATTTGATCTAAGCCTCTACAGCTTGGCAGCAGGGGTGGCAAAAGATAGGCAAGAATCCTGACAGTACTGAATTTCCGCCATAACTTCCAACACAATAAAAACTGGGAGCAGGGCACAAAAACCAGGTAGGAGCGTCAGTCTATTGCACTAGTGTGAGGGTGAAGGAGTTCTGGTGTTCATGAAGGTTCTCCTACAGCTCAAGTCATACAGGTATGACAGAAAAACAAAACAAAAAAACCATGGTGGGTTCCTCTATTAATGAAGACAGCTCATATTTTTTTAAATTTTTGTAATAACTTGATAACAATTATTTAATGCTTTCTGAGACTGTTTTTCTCCTAAGCAACAGGGATATAGTTCTTGCTTTCTATAGTCTTAAGCAAGAGGTAAAACATTTATGATGTTTAGCAGACAACAATGGCCATTCATTGAAAGATATTTAACTGTGATTAAAAAACTTTTAAAAAAAAAACAGACATAGGCAGTGCACAGGTCAGGCAGGCACACAGGAATTGAAAAGCAGGAGAGAGCCAGCAAAGTCTATTTTTAGACTTCATAACTAAAGTTATGATCAGGGAGAATGGAGAGAAAAACAGAAACAGAAACCTCGAGGTGGTGCAACTGTTGATACCTGAAGTTTAAGAGCGATGATCCTCTCTTGCTCTTGCTGCATCTGGGCCCTGTCCTTCTCCATCTTCTCAGTCAGCTGTTTCACGTGTTCCTGATAACTCTTCTCTTTCTGTTCCATCAGCTGCTCATTCTTCCTTTGCATTTCTTCCAACATTTTTGCTGTAGCCTCTGCAGATTCAGCTTTCACACGCTCCACTGGAGAGGAAAAGGGAGAAGAAAAAGGTAAACGGGGTCACTGCTGCCTGGCCTTCCTCTATACTTCCTTGCTACGGTTGCCACTGACTGCATACACTCTACCCAGTGTGACTTGGAAAATAAGACACATCTTTGCTCTTCTTGTTCCGGCTTAGAGATCCTTTGTCTCTCGGTCAAATGATATAAACCTTTCAGAGCTTTTCAGCCTTCCCATCTCCTGACTCACTACTCACCCTCTATCTCCTTTTCCTTTTCTGTGAGAGTCTGGTCTGTCCGTAGAATCGTGTCAGTCACGTCCTCCTTGGACTTCAAGTACTTCTGCAGAATCTCTTCAGCCTTAGAGTCCAGAGAACACAGAGTCAACAGTAGGAAATGACACATTTGTTCCTGTTTGTCTCCCCCGCACCTTTGCCTTTAGGAATTGATCCTCTTGGCTCTGGCATAACTGGTGGCCAAGATTCCCTGACACAGGAATGGGCACTTGCTCCAGGCTGTTTGGTCAGAGCACCCACTAAACAATGGCTTTTAAGGAGTCCCTTACTGTGCAGAAGAGACTCTCGGTCCTTTTAGACTGAGGGCTGTTCATTTGGCGTTAGTGGTGCTGTGGTCCTATATGGGGTGAACTTGCTGGAGAATGATACCTCATGGAGAAAGCTGATCAGAGAAATGGGGATGAAGGAAGAAAAGGAGGGCAGTGTGGGGATGGCAGAGAGTAAGGGACAGAGAGACAGATGGTGACATTATTTGAAATCTTGTTCTTTAAAGCCAGTTTGAAGCACAAACTGATAAATTATTGGTTTTGCTCAGGGGATTATCATTGCATTTTGCAACACAAAATATCCATCTGTAATATGTATGATAGTAACAACTTGGTGGTTAATCTGATAATTTATACCTCAATTTTTAGTTGGGCACATTCTTCTTTGATGAGTATTTTGGACATGTCTAGTTATAATGGGCTCCTTGTACATGTTATTGAAACTGTGAACGTCATGCAGAGAGAAAGGCACCTCTCTGTGCAGTTAGTCTTGATGACACTGCTGTTTGACAGGGCACATGGGTAGTATACCATAATACACAGATATATCTCGGTCACCTGTATCCCCTTCCTGGGTTCCAAATAGTACTTCTTCTTCAGCTCTTCTATCTTCTGAATAAAGAGACGATAGCCCCCTGGTTTAGAATAAATCCCCTGCTTCACATTCTCTTCTAGAGGGCTGAAAATGTCCTGAAGTAAAGCTGAGCAACGATCTGAAGATGCTTTCAGATTCTGTTCATGAAACTTATCCCGCCTTGTTTCTAGCTGGGCCTTTGATGTAAAAATGGAAAATTAAAAAAAAAAAAAAACACAACAGGAAAAGGTGTTAGCTAAAACTCAGAACTTCTGGAACTTCTTGAAAAAAAAAAATTAAGACTCCTAGATAAATTTACAGGTTCCTCAGCGGGACTAGGTTCTTCCTCCTAGTCCCAAATTTCTACTGAAGCTCTTTCTCCTTTAAGGCGAGGTTCAGAACAGAGATTGCTGGCTTTAGGCCACATTTTCAAACTGGTCTGAATGATTGCCCATGGGGAAAAAATGTGGCTCAACATAGTCCAACTGCAGACAAGTAAGACTCAAATTCCTTTTGCTTTTCTGTCTTGAATATCAAACCAGTGCAATAACCGTGGGGATGTAATTTGATTAGAAGCCCTGATTATTATTTATTGCATGCAATTAAGTTAAGGGGAAGATTATTGGCTTATTCATAAGAGAGAAAAGGTCTCAAAGCTTTGAGTACATAGTAATAAAACCATTTCTCCTGTTTATTATGTTTATCAACAGACAGCTGTCATCATTTTAAAATCTAGTAACAATCGCCTCTCTCAAAAGAAGACCCATCTTATTCTCTCATAGTATTTGCCTTCTAAAACCCAAATCCATATAAATTTGAGTGAAAAATTACCCCTAATTCCTTTTGAAATAGTTGGTCAACATCTTTGAAGGAATGTTTGATGAAGACCTCAATGGCCTCTCTCTCACAGTCCCTGTGCAGGTCCAGCAGCTCCATCAGGGTCTCTGTGGGCAGCTGCACCTTCTGCTTCATCTGCTGGTCATAGTGGGCAAGGGCCTTCTGCACAGCAGCTGAGTTCTCTATCTGGGCCAGGGCCAGGACTGCGTTCTCCATGCAGGGCAGATCCCCACTGCTGATGGCATTGACATAGGTCAGCACCAGGCTCTCCAAGCCTACATATAGAGAACAAATGATGATATGGGTTGGTGGAATGGAGAAAACATTTGTTCTGTGTAATTCTGAGCATATCAGTTACCACCTGTTTGCCTCACATTCTTGACATCCTCAGTATCACCTGGAAGTTCCTTGAAATAAAGCATCTCAGTCCTACCCCAGATCTGTTGAATTAGGCCTTCCTCTGGCAAGATCCCAAGGTGATGTGTTGAGAATCCTGGTCCTAGACTAAATGGGCTGGCACTCATTGAAAGCTCGCATACATTTTTAACACCAAATGCCATTAAAACAGAAACCATATCTCTTTCACTTATGTCCATCATTAGCCCTGATCATAGTAAGTATCCGATTGTTATTATGGAACAAGAGATGCTATCCCAATCAAAAAGAGTGCTCCATTTGGTGTATTAGAATAAACAGTATTGTCCAAGAGAACTTTCTTGGATATGCTAATATAACAGGCATTAGCCACATATAGATATTGCCACTTGAAATGGAGCTCTGTGATCAAATTTTTAAATTTTCTTTCATTTAATTAATTTACATTAAAATTTAAATAGCCATCCTTGTCTAGTGACTACTATATTGGAGAGTATAGCTCCAGTTTACTAGGGCAATTTTAGGATATAGACATAGAGATATAGATACACACACACACACACACACACATATTTTTATTTTGCTATCTTTTCCTATCTATTTTGACCATTCCTATCTTTTCCTATCAAGGATGTCTGGTTAACAAAATCTATTATAAATTTTGGTACCATCTAAAATTTAATACAACAAAAGTGATAATTAAGTATTTTTCAAAACTGAAATAGGTTGATGTTATTTCATGTTCCTCTGATCCTAACGATTAGTGGGATTACTGAAAAGGGTACTCACGTGGTCCATTGACCTTGATGCCTCCTGAAAGAGTTTTAACCTTGGAATAGCTGAATATGTAAGAACAGAATTCTGCAACTTGTTGCACAAATTCACTGTCTAGTTGATCATCATGCAGAGTCTCTAGCTGGGCAAGCTTCTTTCTATGAGTGGGCCTATCAAAAATAAAGCATTTCTTCTTTGGGAAGAACTTCCGGATACAGAGCCGGGGCAGATTAAAATTTTTGTCTTTTTTACTGGTACCTGGAATAAGAAAAAAAAAAAAAAGGATTTGCATACTCTAAGGATTTGCAAAAAAAATCATTTTAAAAGCAAAAGAGTATATATTTCAACCTTTTCAGATAAGTTAGATGTCTTAAGAACTCAGTTACTGTATCATGATAGCATCCACAGACAATATGTAAATGAATGGACACAGAATTATTTGAATTCATTTACAGACATCTGGTAGCTACATTGGCCATCAATTGTATTGGGTCATAGTTTTCCAACATTTGAGCTGGCATAACGCTTAGGCTTTGATCTATTTTCTTCAAATATATATTCTTTGTACCCATATTTTTGGGTTAAATTTAGAATCAGAAAATCTAAGCACAAATTCTCAAATTTACTGAATCATAGCAAAGGGAAAGGTGAAAGAAAAAAAAACAGGGAGAATATAACTTAAAGTCAAATCTATTAATTTGGATATTAAGCATGAATCCCCAGGAATCCCTGTAATCCCAGTGATTTGGGAGGCTGAGGCAAGAGGATCACAAATTCAAAGCCAGCCTCAGCAACTTAGCAAGGCCCTCAACAACTTGTGAGACCCTGTCTCAAACAAAAAATAAAAAATAAAAAGGACTGGGGACATGGCTCAGTGGTTAAGTGCCCCTAGGTTCAATCCCTGGTAACAAAAAAATTAAAAAAATGAAAGTAAAAAATAGTAATGTCTTGGGTTCTGACATCCCCATTTATCAATTCTAAGTTCCTGTTACCTTGCTTTAGCTTCAGGGCAGCATCCAGATACTCATCTGCTGAGATGGGCTGTCCATCTATTTCCAAGTCTAGGGAGAAATCTCTCAGAGTCCACACAAAGTCTGGGAAGAAGCTCACAAATTCAGCTGAATCCTCAATCTCATTCTCCTCAGGTGAGGATTTGGCTCTGATTCGATTTGTCAGCTCTGTCACATAGCTGAGGAGCTAATTAAGGAAAACTGACAAAAACAACAGGGCTCCCCCTCCCCCACTAGTTCCACATATTCCAAAACTTTCATTTCCACTTTGTTTTTCTTAACCTACATGGCAATTATTTAGTAGGTATATGAGCCTTTCCTCTGTCCTTGTTATTTTTGTTTTGTTTTTCTTTTTTTTGTGTGTGTGCTAGATTCATCAAGATTCTGGCTCAGGCAGCTGATTTACTAATAGAGTTTCCCCTCTGACTTTGGTGCTGTTTTGGACCACCAAAAGGATACTGAAGTTGGTCCATGGCCTGCTGGTTGATGGTTCCCATGCTGTTGTACACAAAAGTGCTGCTCAGGAGGATTGCCAGGGCAAAGATCCAGGAATCATTCTGGTTGTCGCCCTGGAGGTCAGAGCACATTTTTGCCAAGAGGATATTTTATTCTATGATGCTTTCAGATCAGCAGTGGTAAAAGTATGCTCACTTGGAGTTTTATTAGACTAAAGACCTAAAAGAGGAACTCAGATCCAAACTGAAATGAGTGTCTATAGGACTTGGACTTTGAATACTTTTTTGATTCGTATTTCTGTTTTACACTGATTCTCCTAGGCACTCCTATTTTGACTGGCAGATGGCTGCAAAACAGTCAAGGTTGTGGGTATTCAAAGGGCTTAAAGACAATTTCAGTTGAAAAATTTTCTCAGGAGAAACTCCCTAAGAACAAGCACTAAAAGGAAGCAAGAGGACATTACTTCCTCATCTTCTGATGTAGAAATTGATGGTCAGGATTCTGTTGGTGAGTGATGAACAGAAAATGAAGCCAGTGACTGAACAATTAGTGTTGTCTTCACACAATGCATTTTGCCAATCTTTGGGAAATGAGGCTTTCTCTAAATCAGTGCCTGTCACCATGGATGATGATGATGACAATGATCCTGAGCATAGGCCTGTAGGACTTTAAAGAGATCATAACACACCTTTGGCATGGGTATGAACAGCTGCACTAGAACAGCAAAAAGATTGTAAAAACCGAAAGTGTTTGATTTAGAAAGACTCCTGTCTTCCTGCATGAAAGGAAGGCCAAAAAAAAAAAAAAAATGCACTAAATCTCAGTAACCTTAAAAGAAAGTAAATACCAATATTAACACACCTAGCATAGAGTGCATTACCAATTCAGAGCTGTAAATGTTATGTTTTCATGTAAACTGTGATAATTTTTGAGACTTTTAATTTTGACAGTTTTTTTTGATAAAAAGTAAATCATAACTCAATAAATTGGTTAAAAAAAGACATCTCTCTCTATTTAGTTATTGTTCTTAAGTGTCATCCAGTATGGTGATCTCATATCTTAAGATCTGTTGAGACTGAGGGCTGGGGTTGTGGCTCGGCGGTAGAGCACTTGCCTAGCATGTGCAAGGTGCTGGGTTTGGATATCATGATTAATCTAGGCATGATTTTCTTTCCAATTTCACATTTTTTGAGTGGAATAGGTTATAGTAGCAGCATATGGTAATTGCGGGTAAATTTGTACACAATCATGTAACTGAGTAAAAACTGTGTATAAATTTCATATGCTTTGTCTTTTTAGTAGTATTGTAATACATTTCTAGTGTTGGTGTTTATGGAGAAGTAAATAGTATATTGTTGCAAATGCTTTACCATTTGCATGCCATAATCTGTGTAAAACTTAGCAAGACTCTGTCTCAAAATAAAATAATTTGTTAAAAAGGGGGATGGGGATGTACTTAGTGCTTGCCTAGCATGAGAGAGACCCTGGATTCAATCCCTAGGAATGCAATTTTTTTTTCCTATTTTTCATAGCAAAATTGACTCATCAAAGTGTTATGGTTTGGATCTGGAATCATCACCAAAAGCTCATGTGTTAGGCAATGCAGCAATGTTCATAGGTGAGAAGATTGGCTCATAATGGCTCTGAACTCATCTGTGTATTAATCCACTATGGATTAATAATATGAATGGACTACTGGGAAGTGGTGTAAACTGTGGGCAGGTGGGGTATAGCTGGAGGAAGAAGGTCACTGGGAATGTGGCCTTGGAGAGTATATCTGTCACTGGGCCCTCTCTTTCTCTCTCTCTCCTTCCTGACTGTTATGAAGTGAGCAGCTTGCTTCCACCACACCTTTCACAATGGTGTTCTGCCTAATCTCTTAGGGTCAGAGCAATGAAGCTCACCAACCATGAGCCAAAATAAACCTGTTTCTGGGTTGTTCTTGTCAGATATTTTGCTCACAGCAGTGAAGAGCTAACTAACATAAATAAGATATATAATACTTCTAGGTACTTTATCAAGTAATTATCGTACCCCTGAACATTCAAACAATAATATTCAAAACAATAATATGAGGCAAATATAGAACTATTACATCCATTTGACACATCAGAAAGCTAAGGCTAAAAGAATCAAGATATTTGGCTTAAAGCCACAAAGATACTGCCAGAGTTTAATTTAAACACAAAGTCTTGGGGCTTCAAAACCAAAATTCTTAACTAAAGTTTTCTGTAGGATAAGACTACGACATTAACTTTATTTTTGCTACCTTTATGCATGTGGGGTAACTTGAGGAGCTTAAAGTCTGTTGTTAATAGTTGGAATATTGTCTACTATCTTGCTTTTCTGAAAGGATTGTGTATTATGAATATTTTCCTCATCTCTGGTTGTTACACCTAGTCTCATGATATATAAGCAAAATGAAATGACATATTATAATGCAAGTTCTTATTTAAGGAAAAATTACATACTAGAAAGAATTTTCAGAGACAGGGGCTTAATCCAAAGTAGAATCCTCCCTCCTTACCTTCTCTACATCTCCTAGGCCCTCGGTGTCAAGCAGAACTAGAGTGTGGTCTGCCATCTTGGGATGAGGCACACACCACATCCAGATTCCTTTGGTGTGAGACTGCACTGTGGCACCCAGAGAGAAGCCTGTCAAGCACAGAGGAGATAAGATGGGTAGAATTTTAATAGTGTGTTCTGGAAAGTGTGATAAAAGCATAACCAAATGTAAGAGAGAGGGGAAAAAAACCACAGCCTATATTGAATGATCTTATTTATAGTCAGAGAAATAAAAATTAGAATATCTAATACATAAAAATGTAACATTTATAATAATAAAAAATAAACAGACTAAAAATATGAGGAAATTACCCACATATGATAAGCAATATGTGAAAATCCACATTTGCTACCCTTGAGATGTTACTGTTATCCAAAGGGAAACATTCTATGAATTCTTATTAAGATTCCAATGAATTTTTAGAAGTAAAAATACACACCCTAATTTTAATAAGAAATCTCAGAAATAAACTTTAAAAAGGAAGTATAAATTTGGAGGCTTCAAAGAATCTGAAATCTGATACTTGCTACAGAATTGTGTCACCAAAACAGTGTGTTCCTGGCTTAAAGACCAATATATAGAGTCACAGAATGGAATAGAGAGTCTAGAAATTAAGTCTCACATGTATGGTCAAATGATTTTCATAAGACTTCCAAAATCACTCAATGAAGGAGGAATAGTTTCTTCAAGAAATGACATGGAAAGACTGCAGATCCACATGCAAGGAAAAAAAAAAGGGAGTTGTGGTGTTTCCTTATCCCTGTTGGCGCACGGAGCGCTTCTGTTCCAGGAGCTCAGGTCCATGACACACTGAAACATCACCTCCAATCAGTGTAAATGGTGCGAACTTTGAATGGTGCACCTCTAATCCCTGAAGTGGCACAAACACTTGGCCAATGAAGAAGTACCAGCCCACTCACCCTGCTCCTCATTCTGTGTTGAGCCCAAAAATATCAACACCCTGTACAGTGCTCTCTCTCTCTCTTCCTCCCTCTCCTCTCTCTTCTCTCTCTTCCCCCTCTCCTCTCTTCTCTCTCTCTTCCCCCTTAACTCTCTTCTCTCTCTCT